TCAATTATTTTGAATACAATTTTTATAGAATTTGTCGGAAAAATTCAATTATTTTCAAAAATTTTAATAATATTCTTCAAAAGAATTTAATTATTTTCATAAATAATAAAATTCTTCTAAACAATTTAATTATTTTCAATAACATTTTTATAGAATTTGTCGGAAAAATTGAGTTATTTTCAAAAATTTTGATAAAATTCTTCAAATTATTCTTTCCACTTGGAAGATTGTAATAATTCGATGAACTGAATTCGACGACTTCCGTTATTGGAATTGACCATCGACTATATTCTCGAAAAAATTTAGTATTCCAATTGTAGTTGAATTATCCTTTGAATTCAGAAGAAAATAATTCGAAAAACTAAAGAATTGACTTTCAATTATTGAAAGAAAGTGAAAAGTCGATGACCTAAAGAATTAAATTCTAAATTCGAATTTTTCTCCATTTGTTGAATTCAGAAGAAATTAATTCAATGAACTGAAGAATTGACTTCCATTCTGGAATTGAATTCCATGATCAATATTCGACTATTTTCTCGAAAAAATCCTCCACTCAAATTTTTGATTAATTATTCTTTGAATTCAGAAGAAACTTAAAATTTAATGAGTTGAAGAATTGACGAATATTGATTTTTCGATTTCTCTAAAGTTTGGAAATTTTTCCCGACTTCGAAAATGTAGTGACACTGGATTTTTTTTAATCACGTGGATCCTTTCGCAAAATCTTTTCCGAAATTCCCTCCATATAATATAGCGATGATGATAATACACCTATTTGTCTACATTTTCGGTCCGTCGTTGCTCTAATCGATAAAATCCAGTGCAATAACCTTATCTGTTGACATAGAAAATATTTAATTAGCAAAAAATTTCTATCTAAATTAATATTTCCATTAATATTCATTACTATTTTAATTCTTTATCATTTGTTTCATTTTTCTAAATTTTACTTCACTCCGTTAACTCTAAATAATAAACGAAGCTTGTTTGTAATACAGGAAATTTTCCCGACCCACAATAGTAAAGTTTCGCGTTACAGAGAAAGAGAAAGAGGACAGTTAGAAGTTGGTGACATTTAATAATCAAAAAACTTTTGCCTGCTTTTGCCAGCTTTTGCTAGCTTTTGCTAGCATTTACTACCTTTTGCCAGCATTTACTAGCTTTCGTCAGCTTTCACTCATATCTAAGTTAAAGAGGAGATAAATGTTTATGAAAATTGTATCAATTGAAAAGTTTCATGCATATGTATAAAATGATCTATACGTGAGTCAAGAGTTCACTCGAGTCTATTTAACCTTGTTAATATCAATCCACTAAGAGCACTCAAACGCAAAAGGTTGCTCTTTGGTGCGAGAAATTAATTTTCCATAAAGTTATTAAAGCCCTAATCATGTGCTGTGGAAAAAAAATTCTCCCCCTCTCTCTCTCTCTCGTCCATTAAATTCGGAAGAATGAAAAAAGAAAACTTATAGCCGAATAATTAAATCCTAATTTATCCAAATTAGGAAATTATTTTCCCAATTTTCCCTCAATCTCAAAAGCTTAAAAATTCATTAAATTTATAATTACTCTTATTTCCAAAGAGAGCAATAATTTTCCATTCCTTTTAATTAAAATTTTTTAAAATTAACTCTTAAATAAAAATTTATCCTTAAATACAAAATTTATTCTTAAATAAAAATTTACTTTTAAATAAAAATGTATTCTTAAATATAAATTTATCTTTAAATAAAAATTTATTCTTAAATAAAAATTTATCCTTAGATAAAAATTTATTTTTACTATTAAAAATTGAGCAATTAAAAAATTTTCTTTAGAGTATTTTTTTTGCATTTGAATTTGAACAAATTTGCTTTCGTTTTGCGAAAAGAGTCAAGGCGCTTTTTTTTTAAAGATAATTAATGAATTTTGTATCTTCAATTGCTGGGAATACTCGACTCATTAAAAGAGATGTGTATGTATTTTTTTTTAAATAAATTTTTATAACTCACAGACCTTCCCCCGATTTAATTAACTAATCCTCCCATGAAACTCTATTTTCATTGAAACGAGAGCCAGAGGCACTTTAAAAACTTTTAGTCCTCGAATAAAAAACTGTTACCGAGGCGTAATAACAGTGCAGGGTCACAGGTCAAATGTACTCACGAAATACAAAAGTTCCTTTAGACACGATCTGTTCAAATAAAAAATTATAAATTACAAATTACAAATTACAAATTAAAAATACAAAAATTATTATTAATTACAAACAATAGATTAGAAAATTATTAATTCAATTTTTTAATTCAAAAATTTCTCTATCGAGAACTATTTCTATTTTTGCAAAATATTGCGTTTTTTCAGCAGTGAAATTCTTTCTATCAAAGTCGGTTCTTTTTTCTATTTTTGAAGTCTCTTTTTTATTTTCAAGTCATTTCTTTTATTTCACAGTCATTTTTTATTTTTATTTTCTTATTTCCATTTGACATTTTTTCCCTCTATTCTTATATTCACACTTGGGAATAAATATTTTTTTTTTGAGAACCCTTTCTCATTTCCATCAAACAATATTTTTCCTGTCTTTTTTACTTCATCTCTTATTACTTCCACTTTGGATTACTTTTTCTTTTTGGTTTCTTTTAATTTATATTGTGCCAACATTTTTTTCCATTCTCTCTGATTTACTTTATAAGTCTTGTTTTTTGCGAGGAGTTTTTAATTTAAAAAAAATTTCCAACTTCTTTAAATCAGTCGTCATCAATTTTTTACAGAATTTAATTAATTTTTAATTAGAAAGGTTTTCTTAAATTAAAATTTTTTTTTAAATTTAAAAAAAAGTTTAAAATTTTTAAAAGATTGTTAAAAACATTTTAGAAATTTTAAAAAATGTTTTTAAATTTAAAAAATTTGTTTTCAATTTAAAAGAAGAATTTCTTCTTTAAAAGATGAAAAATCTTTAGGAAGTGATTTTAATGGAGATATCGATTTAAAATGGAATTACAGGAAGTACTGGAAATTCAACACAAAAGGTTTTTTTTATCACAATGTTTATCCATTCTTTGTCGAGGAAAAGCCAAGAAAAAAAATATATCTACATGAACGTTATTTCCACTAGAAGAAAGTTTACACTCGAATGATTCGTGTTTATACAAAAAAAAAGGAAAAAAACGAAGAAGCCGATATTCTTGATGTATCTTATTTCTTTCAAAGTCGATTATCATCAAAGTTGACTTCACTTTATTGCTAAGAAAAAAATAAGTAATAAGCTTCTCGTTACACAAGTTGAGAATATTATTGAAAGAGAAGGATTTTTCTATTTTTTGCGATTCCTTTAAAAAGAGAAATAAATAAATAAAGAGCATTGAGGGAGATTTTTTTTTTTTTTGACGAGTAGTGAAAATTATTTTGACGAAAGTAGAAAATTCTGATTATTTAGTGGGATTCTTGCATAAAGCTGAATTTACATTGAAAAGTAAGTAAGCAATGGATTGCCTGGGGGCATTTGGTTTAGAACAGTTTTAGCTGCTTCTAAGTTCACTCGCTTGATACCTATTTCTTCTATTTTTCTTAGCTTCTCGCATTGACCTACTCTCCCTTCATTGCACTAAATATATCTCTTTATTGCTTAAACATATTAAAAAAATCCCGCAAAAAAAAATTCTTATTAAAGAAAATATTTTCCTCGTTCTTCCCTTTTTCATTCTTTAATTTATTTTCCTTTTAATTTCGAAATTTAATTTTTAACTTCAATTTGTACTTTTAATTTCGAAATTTAATTTTTTAATTTAATTTTTAAATTCAATTTCTGAACTTAATTTCGAAATTCAATTTTTAAATTCAGTTTCTAAATTTAAATTAAATTTGGTAATTTAATTTCGAAATTCAGTTTTAAAATTCAATTTCTAAATTTAATTTCTAAATTCAATTTTTACATTTAATTTCGAAATTCAATTTTTAAATTCAATTTTGTAATTTAATTTCGAAATTCAAATTTTAAATTCAATTTCGTAATTTAATTTCGAAATTCAATTTTTAAATTCAATTTTATTTATTTATTTATTTATTTATATTATTTATTTATTATTATTTATTTATTTATAAATTTTGTAATTTAATTTCAAAATTCAATTTTTAAATTCAGTTTCTAAATTTAAATTCAATTTCGTAATTCAATTTTTAAATTCAAATTCGAAATATAAATTCCAAATTCAATTTCTAAATTTAATTTCAAAAGTCCATTTTTCACCTCAATTTCTAAATTTAATTTCGAAATTCTATATTTAAATTCAATTTCTAAATTTAATTTCGAAATTCAGTTTTTAAATTCAATTTATAAATTTAATTTTGAAAATCAATTTTGTAATTTAATTTCGAAATTCAGTTTTTAAATTTAATTTTTAATTTTAAATTCCAAATTCAATTCCATTAAAGAAATATTTTTTGATTCAAAAATAAAGTCTATGATTTCTACTTTTTAATTGTAAATATAAAATATTTTCCGCATTAAAAAAAGGGTTGGAAAAATAAATTTTTTCGAATATAAATAATTATTTATCGATTTTTTTAATATTGTGAAATAAACTTAAACGTCCTTGTAAAAAGAAAAAATATCCAGCAAAATGTGCAAAAGATTCTCTTTTTAAAAATAGATTATCTGCCTCGCGAGTTTTTCTAGTCGCTTTTTTAAAAATATTTTATAATCTCTCAAAGGAAATTGCGTAGAATTTAGTGAAAAATACAAAAAAATAATGTTAATAAAATTGAATTTACCATAAATATTGTCTATTTTAAATTTTTAATACTTTAGAATTTAAAATTTTTATCAAAATTTCCCTTTCTATGAATTGAAATTGTAAATTCAGTATCGAAAATAAAACGAAATAAATAAAAATTCAATGAACGAAGAAGATTAGAAAGAATTATCGGAAAATGGAAATTTCAATGAAATATATAATTAAAATATAAAGAAAAATTCATTCATGACATTGAATAACGTGTGTTAGCCTTCAAAAGAAACTCACGAGATACGATTGGAGCGATGTCACGCATTCCAGCTAAATTATCATCATCGTCATCGTCATCATTATCAAGAGGGAAGAATCGACTCTCGAAATCCATGATTTTAAGGGGAAAAAAAAATAATTTCCACTCTTTTCTTTAATATAAAAAAAAAGAAAAAGAACGAGCAATTAATGTTGTATTACCACGAGACAAGTCACTTCGGCAACACCCACTTTATATCTTTGGCCCCGTAACCTCGAGGGCAAACTTTTTTTCCCCGGCTCACAACGAATTCCCAACGATTGCCACGTCAAAACCGGGGGATGATTTTCCCGGAATGCAACTAAACGCGGCTCGTTGACCTCCGTCCTAAGTCAGAGCACAAGCCATTGGCTCGTCGTCGTCGTTCTCGTTGTCGTCGTCACCAGGACCTTTACCCGACTTTCTTTACTTTAGAGGGAATTTTTCGTGTCTTCGTTATTTTCTCTTCTTCTTTCTCTCTCTCTCCCTCTTGAAGGGGGAAAAAAGAACTACCCTTCGCTATTGACACACGCGCATAGAATCGCGAGACTGCTCTATACAGTAAAAGCCAGCGAGCGAGCGAGCGAGCGAACGAGTACGCAAGTAGAAATAAAAAGATAATCTGGTGCGGAGAGCTACGCGCCTGTGCCTCCACCTTTCATCCCCCTTTACGCCTTTGCCCGCGATTCCAACCCCTCCTGATACCGCTTCCGACATCCACGCCCCGCACTCGTAAAAGCAAAGGGACGCGTGTCCCTATTTGTCCCCTATCAAATATATATACATACACAGTTATAGAACATACCAGAAATCCTGGGCTAACTCCCTCAGTTCCGTTTCATCCCCAGTAGAGAGATAGAGAGCTTTTGCGCGTTTTCTCCGGTTGCCGCAATAATTCCTTTCTCTTCCTATTTTTCCTCATTTCCATATTTAACATGCGTCCCAGATGGATGAATTTTCATCTTCTTCCCCAAAGATAATGTCATCCAGGAAAAATTCCAGAAGAATATACACCAAAAGTTCACCTGCAAGAAGAAAAGAAATTATACCATCCGAAACATTTCCAATTTTCAATTTTTGATCCTTTTTTCCCCCAGAAAAAAATAGAAAAAACCTTCTACAGGAATGGAATTATTCAATCATAAAGAAACATCCCCTCTCAGATAATTAAAAACTTTGCTTTTATTACTTTAATTCAGTTTTTCATAGAATCGAGATTTAAATATGACTTATTTAAGAAAGCCAGATTTTTGGATTATTTATGGTAATAGTGTCGATTTCATTCTGAGTGAATCCTTTAATTAGCATCTTTGGAAAGACATTATTCATGATGTGACTAAATCCATGTCCTCCATAACGTATCTGAAATGGAAATTTTAAATAAATATGTACATCAATCAATAGAGATAAACTTTTCAGGAAACTTTGTTTCAAATTATTTTCGAATTACTGCTAAATATTTCTTTTTTTATAAATCATTTTGAATTTTGATTAAATAGATGCAGGGTTGCCACGATTTTACTCTTTTTAAATTCTCTGACTTTTCCAGGTTTAAAAAACGGAATTTTTCCAGATTTTTAAAACGAAAGTTATTCGAAAACATCAATAACTTCATTTTTAAACAAATATTTATTTATTTTTATAGAAATTAAGATATTCAAAAATTTGAAATTTCTTCGTTTTATAATAATTAAAACTTGCTACTTTGTTACTGTAACTTCTTCAAAAATTATTGTCATCATTACAATTATTCATTTCTAGAATTTTCAACTTATAAAATTCTTCTTTAGATCAATTTTTTTAAAATAATTTTTGAAAAAGTTCTTTGTGAATTTTTAAATTCTTTTGTTTACTATTTAACTTTACGAAATTTCAATTATTCTGACATTCTTCAATTAAATATATTAAAAATTAAAAACTTCAAATAATTAAAAAAAAATCCATTAAACTTATTGAGAAAAATTAATTCAATAGAATTCTTAATTAAAAGTATGAAAAGTTCGAATTTTCAAAGATTTTAATTTGAAATTCATTTTTAAATCAATATTTACCAGAAAATTCTATGAGAATTCAACTGTTTAACTATAAAAATAAATATTTTATTAAACAATTGAGTGCTTCTTAAAATTGAATTTTCATAAAGAATTTTATCAACAAATTTTTAAACAATTAAATCCTCTTGACAAATTTTAAAAAAAATTTTAAGAATAATTACATTTTTCGAGAAATTTGATGAAAATTGTATTAAAAATATTTGAAATTCTGCCAAGAATTTTATTAAAAGTTTTGAAAATAATTGAATTTCGGAGAAAAATTTGATTATTTATAAAGATAATTGAAATTTTGACGAGAATTTTTGTAAATTTTTCAGAATAATTGTATTTTTTAAGAAATTTGGTGAAAATAGTATTAAAAATAATTGAAATTCTGCGAAGAATTTTATTAAAATTATTTTGAAAAAAATTGAATTGTTACGCAAAGAATTGCATTAAAATTCTTGAAAATAATTTTATTCTTTAAAGAAATTTAATTAAAAATCTATTGAAAATAATACTTAAATTCTAATAAATAAATTATACCAAAGGTTATTAAAATAATTAAATTTCTTTGATAAATTTTAATAAAATTTTTAAGAATAATTAACTTTTTTCGAGGAATTCCATTAAAATTGTATTAAAAATCATTGAAATTCAGCATTGAGTTTTATTATTTATGAAAATAATTGAATCCTTGTAAAAAATGTTATTATTTACGAAAATAATTGAATAATTCATGAAAATAATTTGTAAATAGTTGAATTCCTTTGAAATTGTTATTATTTATGAAAATAATTAAATATTTGCGTAGAATTTTATTAAAATTTTTCTTAAGTAATTGAATTCCTTTAGGAATTTTTATTAAAGTAGTAGATGTTAAAAATCATTGAATTGAGGAAAGTTTTTGAAAATAATTAAAATTTGGCTAAGAGTTTTATTAAAATTTTTGAAAATAATTGAATTTCTGAGAAGAATTTTACTACTTTTGAAAATAATTGAATTTTTGCAATCATTTGTAATTGCTTCAAAATTCAATTTGTTTTAGGGTTTTTAACTGAAATTCTTCTGTAAATCCATTATTCTTAATAATCAATGAAATATATATTAAAAAATTTAACTAATTTCAGAAGAATTTTAGTTATTAAATTTTTTTTAAATCTAAGTTTTGTTATATTTCTAATTAAATTCATTTAAAATTGAAATTTTACAAAATTTTAAATCAAAATCTTTTAAAGTTCATTAACTTATGAAAATTGTAAAAGCAATTCTTTTAAAATTGAATTAATTTTGATTAAGAAATTAGATTTCAAGAATAAACACAATAGCTTTAGAAAACAACAATTTTCCAGGACTTCGATCAAAATTTCCTGACTTTTCCAGGTTTTTTCAAGGTTTATAAAATTTCCTGACATTTCTAAGTTTTCCAGGTTTCCAGATTGCGTAGCAACCCTGAAATGTTTCAAAAGGGGATCCAATCCTTCGAAAGAATTATTTAATGTTAAAAAGGAATTATTTTCAGTTTTTTCTTTAAATTATTCAGAATTTTAATATTATTATTTGTAATAATAAGAATTTAATAACAATTATTGAAGTTAAAAAAAAGAATTGACAAAAATCGAGACAAAAGTAATGTAAAAAATATAAACAATGAATAAATAAAATTAAAAACGTTCAACAGATAAATTGTTCGAATAAACCGATATTAAAATAAGTTGGAATATTTTTAATAAAAGAAATACAAACCAATCGGTGCTTTGTGTGAATATCGTGGCTCATTAATAATTTTTCCAATTTTCCATCGTCGAGAAGAATCTTCATCTGGTCCAATCGTTGCGCATCCGAAAGCATATCCGTCGTTGGCGTTAATTGATAATATGAGCACTCGGTACCAAAGAGATCAAATTGACAGTAGCAGCCGATTTTCGAAAATTCCAAAAGATCCTCCTTCTTTATTAATGTACCTTAAGAAAGCAATAATTTTTTTTTAATAAAAGTAATTTGGTCCAATTAAATTTAATTTCTCATGAAGGCAAATAATTAATTTAAAAAAAACGGAATAATTAAAAATCATTCTTTTTTCGTAAAAAGAGGAGAATAAATAAAATAAAAATCATTCTTTAATGAAAGTAAAGAAATCGAATTCATTTAGTAAAAAATAAATTATTTCCCTTCTTTCGTTTCAAAAATATTCAAATTAAAATTTGAAGCACAACTTACGATCGAGATGAGACATAACGACTTTTTTAGGATCGCCACCAGCTTCCGTGAAAATTCTCATTATTTCAAAAGGTGCCAAGGCATTTCTACCGGGATGAAAACTAACCGGGCATTTAAGTACTTGTTGAGCAGCCGCCGTTGCTCGAATTGTTTTCCTCTCGAAATCTGAAAATTAACTGATTTCTAAAATTCATTGTTTTAACATTTTAAATTAATTCGCTAACAAATGCTATAACTTTAAATTAATTAATCGATGATGACGATGATGATAATAATAATAGTAAATATGACCGTAATTTTTGGAAGAATAATTAATAGACTTAATATTAATCACTATTGTAAATTGTTCGGTATTAATAATTATTATTTACCATCCATAGGCCAAGCGCTACCGACTTCGCCAATAAATCCCGCCTTCACGTCCATTGATTCCTCGCAACCTTCTGTCATCTCTTTTATCATAATATTCATTATTTGTTCCTCTGAATTCAATAAAGATTGTTCACTCTGCGTTAAAGCTACATAATGACCTGGAAAAAGTGGGAAATTTTTTTTTTATTTTTTAATTCAAAAATAGTATTTGAACGAAGTATTTTTCAATTCATAAATTCAGTGAGTAAGTTCTCTTCAAACTTTCTTTTTAACTAAATCAAAAGTATTTTTGAATCAATAAATTTAGTGAGTAATAAAGTTCTCTTTAAAATTTTTTATTTAAATGAATTAAAATTATTTTTGACTATTTTTTGAATTAATTAATTTAGTGAGTAGTATGTTATCTTCGAAATTTTTTATTTTACATGAATCAAATTATTTTTGAGCATTTTTTGAACTAAAAAATTTAGTGAGCATTAAGTTTCAAATTTCACTTGTTGATAAATTAACATTAAAAGTGTAAAGAAAATTAATAGAGAAAACTAGAAAATTATTTCAACAATTACCAGTGCCTGCAATTATATGAACACCCGTCTCTCGACTGACTTTTTGCATAAATGGAATATTTCGCTTTATTCCATGATTGGTATTCTCCACAATAGTTCCGCCTCCGTGTTCTTTGAAAAGTTTCACATCTTGTAGAATCGCTTCTTCATTCTCATTGTTTAATTTCAAATTCGTCACACTGCTATATCTGAAAATAAAAGAATTGTTAATTGAAAAACAAAATTCGCTTTTTTCTGCCAAACTAGTTAATTTATAATAATATTAATAAAATTCATGTCTTTCTTTCTGCAAAATTATATGATTTATAATAAAAATTATTATTAACAATTAAAAATTAATAATAATAATAATAATAAATTTTCTAAAATAGTTCAAGAAGAAGAATTTACAACTCGAGACGGCGGAGAAGAAACAATTAGAAACAAATGAAAATAAATAAATCCAACTTACGGATATTGTTTCACGAATCCAACATTTTCAATTGTAATTCCATTATTGAAAAATGTCTTCAAATGCTGAGGAGGAGTGGTGTAAAATTTTCCGAAATCAATAGCCAAATGTTCATGAGTTAAAGTTCTTCCGAGTTGTGAAATATTCACCGGTCCAAGTACTTGAAAAATAGAAAAGCAATAAAATTTAAAAAACCGAAAAAAAGGAAAAACGTAAATTTTTTAAAATATAAAATATTCACTCACCAGTCGCTACTGTTTGTGTTCCCATTTTCAACGACTGCAGGCCTGACAGTGACAAACAAGATAAGAAACACGCTTGTACTGCGTTTCGGAGAATATTTTCAACAACTTGTGGTCTTCTAAATTAAAAACTAAAGATATCGTTATCAAAAATCAACGAAACAAAAAGTAAACAGGATTCCGCTCTTGACATTAATGATATAAATTTTTCTTGTTCTAAATTTTGAAAAAGATTTCATTAAAATTAAATTTTCCCCAGGAAAATAGAAGAATATTCGCAAATATTGGAACCTAAATTATTTTTACAAACTATTCAAATTAAACTAAACAAAAAAAACCAACGGAAGGTAAACAAATCAAACGTAAAAAAAATGTTTGTAACAAAAAACGGAATTTTGAATAAAATTCGATTGATTTTAAGAAACGAAAAATTGAAAATTAAAGAAACGTTAATATTAAATTAGAGATAAGAAAACAAAAATTAGTTTCAGTTTCGTAAAGTCAATCAAATTAACAATTTCTTATTACAGAATTTTCGCGCTAATTTTTAGAATTAATTTTTTTTATAATTCAAACAATAATTAAAAAATTAAAAGTGAAAGTACATTTTTGAAATCGGGTACCATCACGTCATTTATTTTACAGAGTAGACAGGTATAATACCTCTTTACAAGAGTACAACGCAGCATTGATTAATATTAATAGCATCTGCGAGAAACACTGTGGATAATATAATTAAAGAAAATTCCCAGTCCAGAGATTCGACAGCATTCATAAATATTATATTATACGATAGCAAATAATATTTATTATTATTATTATTATTATTATTATTACCATTATTATATATATATACAATAGCATTGAGCTGGAAATAAGAGACAAAAATTCTCTATACATTTTGTGAAAGCGGGGGAAGGGGAAAAATTAATCTCATCAAAGCCGATAAATAGTTTTGCACCCAATTCGAGCCCCGGCATAATTAATTTTTAATTTTCTACATTTTAAAAACAACTGATTCATAGACACTTAACTAATAGTGTTTATTTAAAAAAATCTATTTTATACAAAACTTGACCTAAATTCTAAATCAATTTTATTTTAAATAAGTAACAAAATTTCTAAAAAAAATTCTAAAAGTGAATTAAATTCACCTTCGGCATTCGTTTGTCAAATTAAAAAAAAATTTTCTCCTAATTTGAAATAGAAAAAGAATTTCAAATTTTCCTGACAAAAGACTGCAATAATCACAAATTTTTTTCCCTACAAAAAAAAGTAACAATAAAAAATTTCCATCAGAACGTAAAAACTGAAATTTAGACAAAATTTCCTTGTAAAGAAAAAAGAAATAATGTCTCATAATTAGCGGAAAAAAAATATTTGGCCCATTTTAAAAATATCAAAAAAAAAAAACTTGTCGAATCTCCGTGACTGACAAAATTTCCATTTTTCACTCACTCAATCATTCCCTCTCTCTCTTTCTCTCTCACACTCATAAAAATCCTGCGAAAAAAAAGAAGATGCCAAAAAAATTTGAAAAATACGTTTATAAAAAAATAGATTCGATGATTGAGAAGTTTTTAAAAAAAAAACATTATTTTTTTATAACTGTATCTTAAAAAGTTACAAAGGAATGTAATCGAAAACAATTTTCTTTTTTTTCAGCATGCACGTATATATAAAGATCAATTTTTTTTTCAATATTGCAGTTTTTCTTCCCTGTTCTGCAGAATTTGCTATGCATTTTTAAGATGCCCTTTCTTTTTTTATTTCTGCAAACGAAGCAAAAAATTGATATTTTTGTTTATAATTGAATAAATCTAATGAACGCAACTGGGTTATCAGGATAGACTTTTAAAAAAAAAAAAAAAAATGGTATATACTTAAAAAATAGTCGTCTCCTTATTTTTTGAGATACTAGTGAAGGTCCCAATTATGAGACGTACACTTTTATTTTTCATAATTTCACAATAACAGATTAAAATTGACAGGATTTCGTTCCATTTTGCCAGACATCAATTTTAACTAACACTGAAAACAATAAAACAATCATCAGGTTATAAAATTCATTTAATTTAAATAGATAAGTTTTGATAATTGTATTATACTATTTTTTACGAGTTTGTAATTAGTAATTAGTCTTCCATGAGACACTGTCTCATAATTGGGACTTTTACTTTTTACGAGTGATGAGAAAATTTCTCAAAACTCCCAACGACAATTGCACGATCGACCCTTTGTCATTTTTTTCATGACTATGATTCAGCCCGCGATCGCTAATATTCTTAAGAGTATAGTATATTTTGTGTGTAATAATATTAATAATAATATAACTAATAATAACTAATAATTTACATTTACACAAGACTCTCTTATTCGCTTAGTAGTTTTTTTTTTGTTTTTTTTTTAAATTCCTTATAATATATTAGCTAACTATTTTTTTTTCTCCACGCATACGAAAATGAATTCGCTCGAAAAAAATCACAATCGCACTTTCAATCGCTTATTGCAAAAAAAAGTCAATTATATAGTAGAATAAATACAAAGAGTAAGATCGTATAAAAACGTAGAGGATTAAAAAAAACCAAATTTTGAAATTTAGTTCTCAATTCCCATTTTTGAATATAAGGATTAATTTCATTTTTAGATGTGGTGTTTTATTATTTTAAACGATTAACGCTGCGAAGTCTCACAATTCGCAAATGGCGTTACTTATTTTTTTTCTACTCGTTGTGTCCCGATTTTTTTTTTTTTTCAAATACAATCGCACAATTTTTTTCGAAAAAGAAAAAAATTAGAAATGAAATTAAAAAGCGTCAGAAGAACTTTTTCGAAATGATTGATTTTTTTTTTTTTTTGAAGAATCTTCTTTTGCTGAAACTTTCATTTTAGCGATTCAATGACACTGTTCTATCTAGGATAATACACGTAAATATTTCACTTAATAAATGTCTTGGACTCAATCTTGGAGAACTTCATAAACTATCATCGCTATCTTCTGCTGGCGTTTCCGCTGTTATGTTACCACGTTCTAAACCACTACCCTCGCCACTGGCTTCGCCGCTTGCTTCGCCTTCTTGTTCCGTAGAACTGTTTTGAGCTTGCTCGTCTGTTGAGAATTTATATTTTCAATAAAAAAAATATATAGCTTCCTCTATTTTTTTTTCTTTCATTTTTAATATTATTCACTGAACGCATATTCAGGGTGGTCAAAAAATTTGATTTCGTTTTTCCCTCATTTCAAAAAGAATTCCAAAAAGAAATTAAAGAATTTTCAAAGTTCACCTAAAATAATTCTAAAATTCACTTGCTTACAATTCAATTTTACGAAATTTTACCCCTTTATTGTAATCAAAATTATTTAACATTCGAATTTTCTAAAAATTTAAATTTAAAACCTTTCGAAATTTATTTATAAAAATTGAAAAAGCAACTTTTCTGAAATTAAATAATTTATAAGTGATCCTAATTATGACAGTTCTTCAAGGAATAAATTAGTTAAAATATATTTAATTACATATTTTGTTCAATTATTGTCAGAAGTAGAAAAATTTATTTAAAATAAAAAATTAACAAAAATTTTAAATAAAATTCGTAATAATTCTAAAGTTTATAAGGCAAACGAAAAAAATTCAAGAAGAAACTCTATAGAGAAAGAAAATTGTTCTAAAAAAGACAAAATTAGATAAAACTATTCAAGATAAATTTAAATGCTTCTCTTAAACTTTACCTGACTGAGTGGTTGGAGATTCGTCATCTCCTTGTCCAGGACCCATAATTGCTTCCTTAACTTGACTGTTAACTCCCTTTGGATCCAAATCTGAAGCCCAACTGAAGTACATCAACGCAAGATGTGTATTGCCTAATTTTTTATGAACCTGAAATAACACAAAATTATTTAAATAAAAAATTCCCCTTAAATATTTTTCAATTTTTTTCTATTTCCAGGGTTGCCACAAATATTTAATTTTGTTTTTCCCTGATTTCCAGCCAAACTTTTGACTTTTTTTCTGACCATGAAGAATATTCTGATTCACTCTAAAAATTATTAGATACTCAAAATTCTATTACATTTATTTACAAATTTCGTTAATAGTAAAATAATTCGAAAACATCAATAGCTTTATTAAAAATAAATATTTAATCATTATTATTTTTCCATAGGAATTAAGATTTTAAAAAATTTTTAATTCAAACCTATTGAAATTAACAATTTATCAAAATTTTATTATCTTTATGTCTTATAATAATTTAAATTACCATATAATTTTTCAAAAGAAATTTAATTATTTACAAAAATCTTAATAAAATCCTTCACAAAAATTCAATTATTTTTACAAGTAGTCAAATTTCTCAAAAGAATTCAATTATTTGAGAAATATGAAATAAAATTCGTTGCAAGAATTCAATTATTTTCATAAATAATAAATCGATTATTTGGAAATTCATTTTTGAATTAACTTTTATTAGAAAATTCTACGAAAATTCAATTATTTAAATTCAAAATAAAATAATTTATTAAATAATTAAATTTTTTTTAAAATTGAATTCTCATAAAGAATTTTATCAACAAATTTTTAAGTAATTGAATTCTTTTAACGAAGTTTAATAAATTTTTTAAGAATAATTACTTTTTTCGAGAAATTTGATTAAAATTGTATCAAAAATAATTAAAATTCTGCTATGAATTTTATTATTTATGAAAATAATTAATTTTCTGAGAACAGTAGAATTATTGCGATGAAATTTATAAAAAATGTGTAAATAATTGAAATCCTGAGAAATTTTTATTATTTATGAAAATAATTGAATGTTTGCGTAGAATTATATTAAATTTTTATATAAAAAATATTTCAGCGAAAAATTTTGCTGTTTATAAAGATAATTAAAATCATGAGAATTTTTTTTAATTTTTGAAAATAATTGAATTTCTGAAAAGAATTTTATTACTCTTGAAAATAATTTTATTCTCGTGATTAATATTGTCATTTATGAAAATAATTAAATTTTGCAAAGAATTTTATTAAAATTCTTGAAAAAACAATTGGATTTCTGGGAAGAATTTTGATATTTATCAAGACAATTGATTTCTTTCGAAGAATTGCGTTAATTCTACGGAAGAATTTAATTATTTTTTTTATACAATTTTAATAAAATCCATTTCAAAAATTTTGATAAAATGTTTTATAAAAATTCAATTATTTTCATAAATAATAAAATAAAGAAATTTTAAAAAAATTGTAATGAAAATAATTGAATTCATACGGAGAAAAAAAATCACTTGAATTCAATTATTTTCAGTACAATTTTGATAAAATTTCATTATTTTATTTTTTATGAAAATAATTGAATTATTTTGAAAAATTTGGATAAAAATGTAATGTGAAGAATTACATTTTACACGAAGAAAAAATATTCACATGAATTCAATTATTTTCAGTACAATCCTTATAAAATTTCTCGCATGAATTTAATGATTGTCAAGTAATTTTTAATTACAATTTTTAACAAATACAATTATGTATTTTAAAAGCTTGACAGGAATTCTTCGTAAAATCCAATTATTTTCAAAATATTCAATTAAAATTATTTTAAAAATACAATTTGTTTTAAAATACTTAAAGAAATTCTTCAAGAGAATTTAATTATTATTTATGAAGACTAATAAAATTGTTCAGAAGAATTCGATTTTTTAACAACAATTTTAATAAAATGATAAAATTATTAATTACAATTATATTCAAAAAATAGATTATATTCAAAAAATTAAAAAACGATTTAAAAGAATTCAATTATGATTAATATTTTAATAAAATTTCTTGAATGAATTTAATTATTTTCAAAAATTGTTACAAAATTCTAAGAATTTAATTATTTCCTAAAAATTTTATTACAATTCAATAATTAAATGTTTAATTACAATCATGTTTTAACAAACAAGATTATTTGGAAAAGAAATTCTTGATAAAATTCAATTACTTTCAAAATTCTCAATTAAAATTATTTTAAAAAAATTCAAAGAAATTTTTCTAAACAATTCAATTATTTTCAAAAATTGTAATAAAATTCTTCAAGGAAATTTAATTATTTTCAATACATTTTGAATAAAATTTTTGTAAAGAATTTAATTCTTTTTAATAATTTTAGTAAAATTCTTCGTAGAAATTCATAGATTTTCAAAAATTTCGATAAAATTCTACGCAAGAATTCAATGATAAAATTCAAAGCATTAAAAATGAAAAATTATTTACAAAAAAAATTAGGAAACAAAAAAGCAAATAGCAACTCACCTTTCCTATAGAAAAATAGACTAGAGACTCTTTGGGCACGATATTTTTCAATTCTTCAAACTCGGTGAGAGCCTCGGCGTGACGTCCGATTGAGAAATTGATACTAGCTCTATGAAATTTGCAAAGTGTATTGTCTGAATCATTTTCAATTGCAGTATTTAATGTTTTTAATGCTTGCTCAGTTTTTTTCAGTGCATGCTGAACAACGCCAATATGACACATTATAGCCGAATTATGTGGATTTATTTGTAATGCACGCTTAAAATGTAATTCAGCCAAACTATATTGTTCCTGTTTTGAGAAAATTGTTCCCAGACCGAACCACGCATTATAATGCCTTGGATCTAATCGTATCGCATTACGAAAAGCAGTTATCGCTTTATCGAGTTCCTCAGTCATTACGTACTCATGGCCAAGTAATGTGTACGCATATGGAAAATCAGGATTCACCTGTTAAAAAACAAGAAACAAAATTACATCTTTCTAATAAAAAGCAGAAAATAAGAAAAAAATTACTAATTTTTTCATTTTTTCCTTTAATAGTAAATTTTAGTGAGCAAAAAAATGTAACTAAAAATAACTAAAGGAAAAGAATCGAATGATAATTAAAGGAACAAACTTGAATGGCTCGTTGAAAGAATTTAATAGCAGTCTCATGTTCCGTTTGTGAAGAGAATAAATTTCCAGTCGCGCACCACGCGGCCGGTGAATTTCTATCTTCATCAACAAGGTCTTGAGCAAGTGTCGAGAGTGATACTTCCGAGTGTAAGTGCCACAAAACAGTACTGTAAATTTCCATCATTTCCGTTCTATGCGGTTCCAAATTTCTCACTTGCTGGAAGTAGCTGAAAATTCACGTTTCAATGAAAAATCAAATCTTCAAACTATTTTTCAAAATGCATCGGATATGAAATAATTAAATTTAAAAAAAACTACTTACTTAGAAGCCTTTTTGTAGTCGATCATTTCGAAATAAGCGCGTGCCAACATCGACAGGACCCAGCCTGTATAAAAATGTTGACGAGGTAAAATACTCAGTATTTCAATGGCCTCTGAACAATTATATTGGGTTAAATGTTGATACGCCATGCCACATTCTCGTAAAAGTGACATTAAACCTTCTGTAATTGCAAATCAACAACAAATATTAATTGACATATGTAAATATTTTCTATAAAGATTTGTATAAAAATTTTTAAAAAGATTTTTTATCAAAAATTGCATAAAAAAGAAAATTAAAAATTTCTTCCAAAATAATTTTTTAACTAGCAATATTTTGCGTGCGACTGACTGCTCCCTCACTATTTTAAATAAAATTAGCAATTTTAAAAATAAAAGAACGTAAAAATTTTTAATTTAAACTTCTTTTTTATAAAAATAAAATTCTGAATTTTTGTGTCTTTTTGGTTTGACTCATAAACTATAAAATTACCACGAATTCTAATACAAAACCTTCAATTTTTTTAACTTCTGACAAAAATTTCTTTTTAAATAACTTAAATCTTGAACAACTATCATAAAATAAATAAATTATTTAATGAATAATTTTACTTAAATATTTGAAAATTAATTCAATTTTAAAAGAGTTGCGTTTACAATTTTCATCAATAAATGAACTTCAAACGGTTGCAATTTGAAATTTTATAAAATTTCAATGTTGAATGAATTTAATTAGAAATTTTAATTGAACTTAGATTTTTGAAAAAGTTTAATAATTCAAAATCTTCTAAAATTAGTAAAGTCTGTCAATATATATTTAATTAATTATTAAAAATAATGGATTTATAGAAGAATTTTAGTTAAAAACACTAAAAAAATTGAATTTTGAAGAAGTTACAAATGATTGCAGAAATTCAATTATTTTCATAAATAATAAAACTCAATGCTGAATTTCAATGAATTTTAATACAATTTTAATGGAATTCCTCGAAAAAAGTTAATTATTCTTAAAAATTTTATTAAAATTTATCAAAGAAATTTAATTATTTTAATAACCTTTGGTATAATTTATTTATTAGAATTTAAGTATTATTTTCAATAGATTTTTAATTAAATTTCTTTAAAGAATAAAATTATTTTCAAGAATTTTAATGCAATTCTTTGCGTAACAATTCAATTTTTTTCAAAATAATTTGAATAAAATTCTTCCCAGAAATTCAATTATGTTTAAAAATTTACAAAAATTCTCGTCAAAATATCAATTATCTTTATAAATTAATAAAATTTTTCTCCGGAATCCAATTATTTTCAAAACTTTTAATAACATTCTTTGCAGAATTTCAATTACTTTTCAAAAATTTACAAAAATTCTCGTCAAAATTTCAATTATCTTTATAAATAATAATAATAATAGTAGAATATGAAAATAATTTTGAAGAAGTTACAGTAACAATATTCTTATAATATAAAATAATTATTTTAATTTTAATAATGATTTTAACACTCGATCCTCTTTAATTATTATGAAACATGAAGAAGCCGATCACTTCGAGTCGAAGACTCGGAGTAATCGATTTCTTCATGTTTTATAACAATATTTTCAAAGTTGATTAATTTCAAAAATGGTTTGAATTTGAAATGTTTGAAAATCTTAATTCTTATGGAAAAACAATAATAATTAAATACTTAAAATATTTAAAAAAGATATATGATTGTTTTCGAATAATTTTACAATTAAAGATAATCGTAAATAAATTCAACAGAACATTTTTCTAAGTAAAATTGTTACCTTTATTTTCGAAAAATTCAAAAATTTTCATTTACAATTAAAATTTGTAACTGACAAGTAGAATTTATAGACATTTTTTCCTTTATTTTGAAAAAACTTTGGATTTTATTAAAACAATTGAAATTAAGAAATAGAATTGATGCAAATTATTTCCTTATGAAAATTGAGAATTTTCTACAAAAATATTAAGAAACGGGAATATTTAATGTTTTTCTTCCCAAAAAAAAAAAAAAAATGAGTTTGTAAACAATATTGTTACTGAGAAATAAAAATTATGCATAAAATGGGTATATTTCCCACTTCTTAATAAAAATTTTTAACAATACAATTTTCTAGTATTTTTTATAAATAAAAAGGAGAATAATTTGCATAAAAATTGAAATCAGTCAGACGAAATTTGTTATTGAAAAAAGCATATAACAAACAAAATAGGTATATTTTTTATTTGTTAATCATAATTATTTTTAAATTTTCTAATTTGTAATATTATTTTATTTATAAATCATGAAAAAATACCTGCATATTTTCGATTTGTCAAACAATATTTTTTAAAGAAAAAAAAAGCATACACAGAAACTAACTTCAAACTGCAGACAGAATGAATAAAAGAATACGGAGATTAATATAGTTAATTAACCAACAAAAAGGAAATTAAAATACCTGCACACTGTTTCTGAAGAATGAGAGCATTTTGAGCAGCATTCGATTGATTTAAAGCATTTGTATTGGCTGTCACTTTCTCTGACGCGAGTATTTCACTCTTCTCCTTTTCGTTCTTATTCCTTTCGTTCAGTTCATTGAAATTTGCCTTATTGAGATTAGTTTTAGCAAGTCTCGCTTTTGACTTACGCGAAGGTGATTTAGGAGTTGTGAATTTATTTCGATTCGGAGATTTATTATTTTCCTTTTGAAAGAAAAGAAAAAATTGCCACTTATATACTGATTGAAAAAAATAAACGTAAATCTAGAAAGAGAAATCTTGAAATGAAAAATCTTACTTTAACTGAATAACTATGGCTAAAGAGCCTCGAGGATCTTCTGACGTTGGGACCTTGATGTGTGGGTGGAGCGGGAGTCGGTGTCGACGGGGTGACAGTGACGATATTCACCGTATTACTCGCATTTCCAGATTGCGAGAACACTGGTTTGCCCTGCTGCAGTGGCGTTTCTTTCCTCGAAATAAATTGCTGCCGAGAAAAAAGCAAATAAAAATTTAAGAAAGTTAAAAATTGAATTAAAACAATCATTACGAATTCAAAAAAGGAAAATTTACCCCGACATGTGCTCGTAGACTGCTGACACGTTTCGCTAAACTCTTTTGATCATTCGTCTCCATGAGTGTTGTGTGACTTGGTAAAACAGCCGGCTCTGGAGTATTACAATCCAGTGGTAAAATTCCAAAACTCGGAGTGAGAGGACTCAGTGAATTACTAAACATACTCCGATATCGTGGCGGTTTCCCCCGTGGCGATGAGCAATTGTGCAATTGAACTTGTGGACTCTCCTCTATCGTCGAGTGTAACCTGAAGAAAAAACCCGCAAATCAAATTTAAATAAACAAAATCTTTAATTTTTAAATTTCAATTTTTAGAATCTAATTTTTTAAAATTTAATTTCTAAAACAAACTTTTCTTCTCAAATCCAAAGAACTTACATATTATTACTATTTGGCGTTGGGGTGTTATTATGAGGATTTGCCGGAACAATGAGATCAGGATCATTTATATAATTAACAATAGGCATTGAACCATGACACGCTGAAAAACTATCCAATTTGTCTAATTGAAATATTTTCGCTGGATCGACTTTTTCCCCAACATTGCAGAGTTCTTCGAATGAATGCCACAAAAATGGATTTAATTTCAGTGCTAATTTATGAGCGTCATTAGCTTTAATCTGATAACAGAAAAAAAACATAATTAGCAAGTAGAATAAAGAGAGATATTTCAAAAAAAATATAGATTTAATATTAAAAAAATTGTCCATTTTCCCAAAAAAGAATATTATAATTACCGTGCGTTGCAGTTTGTGGTAAATTTTTGCTATGACTTGAAGGCAAAAGCAGGCTTCATCGCCAAATTGCGTCACTATGTCATCCAAATTTTTAATTTGTTTATAATAACCGCCAATTATTGCCGCCTCCGCGTCTGCATATCTGAAAGAAAATATTTTAAACGATAAATTTCATTCTTATTTAATAATAATTTGATTTTTACTCCTTTAATAATAAAATCGTTGTATTATAATAAAAAAGTTATTAATAATTTTTCTTCCTATTAGGCAACGAATTATTATTAGAAACAAAAACTTTTCTCACTTTTCAAGTTCGTAGCAACATTTTGCAAGGAGAAATCTGCATTGTGGCGATGTAGGCGTCTTCTTCGAGAGAAGAGCATGAGCTTGTCTCACTTTTCCAGCACGATAATAGCATGTTGCAAGAAGAAAAAGTGTTTCTTCTGTGTCGACTGCAAATTTAATTAGCCAACATTAGAATCCACTCGATACAAAAGGAAAAAAATACATTAAAAGCCCTAAATATTAATTACCTTCAGCACTTAATCTCTCAGCAAGGAAAATAGCATCCGGATAAGCATAATGGTTGAGGCAATGCCAAATGGCAGCCTGCAAAATTAGAAAAGCATTAATTAATCATTTCAAAACAAATAAAATATTAATTCAATTTCAAAATCGAAATTCATATCTTCCCCCTTTATTAATAATTCTATCAACGATTCTTCGTAAAAAAAACAATTTTTCTAGAAATCGAAATAAAATACGAAAAAAAACTAAAATTTTATTTTAAAAAAGATAACAAAAAAATTTTATTAAATTTGTAACCTAATATAAAAAAACCATTTTTTCAGTAGAAAAAAAAGTTCCATTTTAATTATCTACTTCTTAATGAAGAAAACTTTAATTTCTCACAAGAATGTCACAGCACTTAAAAAGCCGATATCACAAAAAAATTGATTTTACCAAAAGATATTAATTCTTATCAGTAAACATGAAAACCCAATAAATTCGAAACTTTCTCGACAATAATAAAATTCATAAAATTCATAAAATTGAATAATCGGAATCCTGTTCGACAAATAGAACAAAATACAAATACATTGATAACATATTCATTGTACACTTAAAATCAGTGACCCAAATCTTAACTCATAATTGAAACTTTTTTTGAAAACAAGACAATTAGAAAAAAAATTAGAACTTAAAAAAAATCAAAAAATACTCCACTATATTTTCAAAACATAAATAATGCACTCAAAATCAAAATAAACGTCGAATGGTTCATATAAGTGTAAGGCGAGAAAATAAAACCACAAATTAGAATTAAATCCATTTTTCTTAGAATCAAAAAAAAAAATTATTTCACTTTCAATAAATAATTTATCGTGAAAATATATAAAATTATCGCATATGGTGAAATGTCAGAAAATCCACATCTCAAATTTATTTATAGACTCCCGTATATTAATGTATATGAATCGAATTTTGTTACAAAGCGTTACAAGGAAAAATTAGAATTTGAGTAATAAAAAATAGTTGTACAGAAATTTTAGTTTGAAAGAGCATTTTTAAAAAAGAGGAAAAGTTTCGAGAATTATACGTTTTATTTTTATATTACTCGAAAGAGAAATGAAATCAAGTTTGATTCGGGATGTCAATATCGCACACAGGGATAATCATGGATTTACCCGAAGGAAAAGCTGTTTGTTTTATAGGAATAAATAGTTAATTTTTCCCCTACCTGCACGGGTTCCTGTACGATCATCATTTAAAGCACAATTCTAAGCTTAAAAAAATAGTTTCCACCGCGTCGCAATGGCCAAAATTCAGACATAAACTGATACTTTTTATATAAAAATTTCTCAAGAATCCATCTTTACAATGATCTGTTCGAAGTGAACTGCGAACGACTGACTTCACTTTCCAGTATTACCAATTCCTACACTGCGACTTCGCCAGGTGGAAAAATTCAAAAAATATTTCTTTCTTCCTAAAGAAAAATTAAATAATTTTATTTCGAGAATGCTTCAATTAAAATTTTTGACTATAATTTTTTATTTATTATTATAAATTTAGAGATCGAATTTTATACACTTTTGAAAATTATGGATTGTCACAGTGCTGACAACTTGCAGAAATGAAAGTTGCGCTTGCGCTTCATTGTTTGTTGAATCTGTCAAAAATAAATTTTTATTAAGTAAAACCGATTGTTATAATGTCTGCAAGTGATATTAAACAGGCTCTCAGAAAATTAGATTATCCAATATGTGCCAAGGAAGCTTTATATCGAATCGGTGAGTTTTTCTTTTAAGTGTAAATTTATTTTTATTTTTTTTGAGGTTAGGAACTTGTATATCAATTTTTACTTTAATAACTTTAGAAGCTTTAAAATACTTTAATACTTTTTATATAATTTATAATAAATTCTTTCCGTAATTAATACTTGTTACTTTAAATACTAAAATTCTATTTATTTCAAAAAATTATTTTTGCAAATTATGAAACTTCTTTTTGTAAAACATTATTTTTTTTAACGAATTCGATTTTCTAACGATTGTAATAAATTATTATTAAAGAAATGCTGTGCAGTCGGCCAGGAAAGCAAATGGACCTGCAAATGGATTTAATGACCGAATTTGTTTTCGGTGAAATTGAGAGACGGAGAAAACGTAATGTTCCGGCAGCAATTCAGGAATTACAATTAATTGAAGTGTTGAGTGATTTTTTTCAAAATCCAGGTGGAAGTCCAGCTGTTCGTAATGCATTATTTTTATCTCTCTATCCAGCTGGTAGTCCACGTTATAAAGTTTTGGGTAATTTAGTTTCGTTGGCAATTTCAATTCAAAATAAAGCCGTACTCAATGCAACGGGAATTTGGATGCAACAATTGGGTTCAACATCGCAGGAAAGTGTTGGACTTGCGAGACACATACTTAATGATTATTTTGTCCTCACTTCAAAATCAGTCGACAGATTACAATTACTTCCGGTGCTTGCACCACATTTTACCGCAAATCTTCTCACAGCAATTGGCGAAGTTTATAAAGACAAAAATCCACCTTCTGACGTACTTCGATTAATTGGCGATTGGATTAATGACAATCCAAGTCTTTTATTGACGGCTCTAATGGATAATCCGGCTTTACCCACTGGAGGTATTCCCATGACGCCAATTACTCCCATCGCCGGTCTTTTCAGGTTTTTTTCTTTATATTTTCGAATTATTATTATATTATTCGAATTATTATTATATTATTTTTTATTGAATTCAGGGCTCGAACTAGATTCGTAAATTTGCTTGTTGTACGTAAAAGTCAGTTTTTTGACTTTTATTATGGACTTCATAATTTAATTAAAAAAGGACGAAAAGTTCGTAAATTGTACGATATAATTTGGAGAATTTTAGAGAAAGTACAAATGATTGCAGAAAATCAATTATTTTCAAAAGTAATCAAATTCTTCGTAGCAATTCAACTATGTTATTAAAATTTTAAACAAATTCTCTACAAAATTTCAATTATTTTCAGAAATAATAAAATTCTTCCTAAAAATTCAATTATCTTCATAAAAAATAAAATTCTTTTGAAGATTTCAATTATTCTCTTAAATAATCAAATTCTTCCGAGAATTTCAATTATTTCTTCAATTCAATGATTTTCAATATCTACTATTTGATTAAAATTTTCCAAAATATTTAAATTATTTTAAAAAAATTGAAGAAAGTGAATTTATCATTCGGTGATTAAATATTAAATTTGAAAGAAGTTAACAATTTTCCCGAATCAATCTATACAAATAAATTAAATATCTTAAATAAATCTTATCTCTATCGAGATTTATTTAAGATATTTAATTTATTTGTATAGATTGATTCGGGAAAATTGTTAACTTCTTTCAAATTTAATATTTAAAAAAAAGTTGATAAAATTCATTTAAAATTTAATTATTTTCATAAATAACAAAATTTCAACAGGAATTCAATAATTAAAAAAAATTTTATAAATATCTTCGCAATCATTAGGAATTCAATTTTTTTCATAAATAATAAAACTCATTGCAGAATTTCAATTATTATTTTAATGAAATTTTAATCGGATTCCTCGAAAAATGTAATTAGTCTTAAAATCTTTATTAAAAACCGTCAAAAGAATTAAATTATTTAAAAATTTGTTGATTAAATTCTTTATGAGAATTCAATTTTAAGAAACATTCAAATATTCAATAAATTAATTTTTTTCGATTTAAATAATTGAATTCTAGTAGAATTTTCTAGTAAAAATTAATTAAAAAATAAATTTCTGTCAAAAACAAATGAATTTGAAAATTCTCAAAAAACTTTTTCAAAAATTATTAAAAAATAATGTATTTATAGAAAAATTTTAGTGAAAAACAATTAAAAAAATTCAATTTTAAGAAGTTACAAATTATTGCAGAAATTCAATTATTTTCAAGAGTAATAAAATCCTTCGCAGAAATTTAATTATGTTTAAAAGTAATGAAATTCTTCTTTGGAATTCAATTATTTTCATAAATAATAAAACTCCTCGCAGAATTTTAATTATTTTTAATACAATTTTAATCCAATTAATCCCAGAGGAATGAATTCAATTATTTTCATAAACAATAAAATTCTTCTAAACAATTAAATTATTTTCAGTAAATTTTAATTAAATTTGTCGGAAAAATTTAACTTTTTTTCAAAACAATTTTTATAGAATTTGTCGGAAAAATTCAATTATTTTCAAAAAATTTGATGAAATTCTTCAAAAGAATTCAATTATTTTTAGTAAATTTAATTTAAATTTGTCGGAAAAATTCAATTATTTTCTAAAATTTAGATAAAATTCTTCAAAAGAATTCAATTATTTTCAGTAAATTTTAACGAAATTTGTCGGAAAAATTAAATTTTTTTCAAAAATTTTGATAAAATTCTTCAAAAGAATTTAATTATTTTTAGTAAATTTTAATTGAATTTTGAAATTTCTTGATAAAATTCTTCGCAAGATTTCAATTATTTTTAAAACAATTTTAATCAAATTCTTCGAAAAATGTAAATATTCTCGTAAAAATTTTATTAAAAATTGGCGAAATAATCCAATTGAGGGGCTGGATGCTATAATGTGTTACACGCCATGTTAAGTGAATGGCGCGTAACACATTATAGCATCCAGCCCCTCAATTATTTAAAAATTTGTTTATAAAATTCTTTATGAGAATTGAATTTTAAAAAAAATTAAATTATTGAATAAATTATTTATTTTTGGATATAAATAATTGAATTCTAGTAGAATTTTCTAATAAAAATTGATTTAAAAATGAATTTTAGTTAAAATTTTAGATAATAATTGAATATTTAAAGAAAAATAGCATGAATTTTTAGAAATAATTGAATTTTGAAATGAATTTTTTTGAAAAAGTTTAATTGAATTTTTTCTAAATATTATTTTAAGTTTTTATTTTCCTATATATATTTAATTGAAGAATTCACGATTAATTGAAATGCGTAAAATTGAATATTGTAAAATATTTGAAAATTAATTAATTTGAAAATTTTCAATGAATGAACTTTTTCGAACATTAATTGATTTAAAGAAGAATTTTAGTTAAAATTTTGGTCAGTAATAATTGGTCCGTAATTTTTCAATTTTTATCCGTAAAGTCCGTATTATTAAATACTTTCACTGGTTCGAGCCCTGTGAATTTTATTTCGTATTCGTATTTATAATTTATTGGATTTAATTTACCAGGTGGTGTATATTGAGTCCGGTGCGAATAGTCGACGATAATTTAAATCAAATTGAGGACGAGCAACGGCTTTATTCGAAAATACAGCAACTCTTGATGGATTCGGTATTGAGACTGAAGAGCAATAATGGAAGTAATAAGCACGCAATATCGGCACAACATTTAGCGGCAACGACACGAGCGTTAACTTTGGTCTTGCAAAATTTCAATGGTAATAGTGAGACGTCTCGCGATCTTGCGATGGAAAGATTAGCGCAAGCCGTCAGTGCGGCAATGTCGGCAAATTGTATATATGGAAATAAACGTAAGTTAATTTTTATATATTTTTCTCTCACCTCGAAAAATAGAAATAAATTTTGATTTTCTTTTCTAATAGAGGAACTTTTGGCACTTTTACAATCCTTGTCCTATCAACATTTTCTCATCGAATGGACACTTCAGACGTACTCGACGAAAGCTGCATAGAAAAGTGTTTCGATTATTTGTAATTATGTATTTATATTTAAATTATATGTACATGGAAATTTGTATATTATAAATTTAATTTTTACGAAATTACTTTTTTCTTTTCGTGTTGGTCATATAATTCAAGAAATTAATTTCTCCATTTAGAAGGGTTTAAACGTTCGATTTTGTTTCATTTGCTGTAATTTTTCTTTGTCCAGATCAAATTTCTTTCGTAGTTCCATCAAATCTGAAATTAAAAAATGTTGAGTTGATAAAATAGTCAAATTGTAAAACAAAGTATGTAAATCAAAGTCAAATTGGATATAAAAATAGTTAATAGTTACTTTGTCGTTTGGCTTCTCGAATTTGGAAGGGATAGAAATTTTTTAACTGCTTCTTTCGATTGCCGGTGGATAATTTTTCTTGTAATTTATTAATTGTTGATTCTTTTCTTGCGAGGGCGAATTCTCCTCTCTTTTTACGGCCAGTCACTTTCACCCAACCGTCCGCATCACCCTCTTCGTCTAATTTTTCTTTTATCAAACGCTCAGTAACTTTTGCGTCATAATTCTCCATAAATTGTTGAATATATTTTTTTGCCTCGCCTTCATTGCAAACCGAATTGTTATATTCCCTACACCATTCTTTAAAAAGAGAAATATTTTAATATAAAAATAATAATTTAAAAAAAATAATAAAAAAGAAAATAATTTTTTTATGAATAAATATTTTATTAATTTTTTATTAATATTTTTATTAATAAATATTTTATTAATAAATAAATAAATTAATATTTAGTTAAAGAAAAAAAAAATATTAAACTTACTGTTTAATCCAGTGATCAAAGGCTTTTCCTTAGAACTCAAAGTCAAAACTACATTTGAAGACAGTGATAAAGCTTTATCTAAACTTGATTCTTTTTCGAAAATAACGTAGGTGCATTTTTCTGATTTGTTACTTTTGACAAATTGTACCGATTCAACTGGTCCACATTTTTTGCTGAATGCACAGTTGACAGACTCTTCAGTTGCGTAAGGAGGTATGTTAATTACAAATAATGTCCTATCCTTAGGATATTTTGAATACTTTTTGTCTGTATGTGCTTTTATGAACAATTGATTTCGATCTGAACTGTTTTCTTCGTAACGGAGCCACAAAGCTGAAATTATTTTCATTATTAACTTGCTTATTGATAGAAAGAATTTTTAATTTTGTAAGTTTATTACGTTACAAAAAAGAATTCAATTTTTTTCTTTATTCGATATCAAATATTTTAAACGAATTCAATAATTATTTTCTAAAATTTTTATAAATCGTAAAACAATTCAATTTTATGTAAATAGTAAAATTCTTTCATAAAAGAATTGAACTTTTTTTTATTTTTAATTTTCAAGTATTAACAAACACGATTATTTTAAAAACTTGAAAAAAATTGTTCATAAAATTCAATTACTTTTAAGATTTTTAATTAAAATTTTTATAGAAACTCCATTATTTTTAAAAAGATTCAAAGAAATTCTTCAAAAAAAGTTTAATTAGAATTATCAAAAATTTAAACACTATTTCCACTCTACAATTGAATTATTTTCATAAATAATAAAATTCTTCGAAAAAATTCTATTATTATGGAATTTTTTAATAAAATTTTTTGCAACAATTCGATGATTTTTAATGTTTTTAATAAATTAATTTTAAAAATGGAAATTATTTAAAAAGAGAAATTATTAAAAAAGTTAGGAAACAAAAAAGTAAATAACAACTAATTTATAACTGCGAACAGATTTCCGGAATAGAATTATTATTAATATAGATTAATTAGTTAATAAAATAAAATAACAGTTTAATTTTTGAGGTTAGGAAATTACAAAATAACATTACTAAGATACATACTCTTAAATCCTCCAAGCGATCCTTTATTAATAGTCATTGTTCGACAGTTAATAAACCAGTTAAAATTAAATATCACTAAATTGAACAAATAAACAAATTAACGAAATTAACAAAATATGAAAATTATAAACAACATGAAATACACATGTCACCCCAGTCCGACTCACTCAAAATGCTTGGAAAATATATGACCACCACTTGAGTAGTACTAACTTCTACCGTCAGAATGCAGTGTTGCGCATCAGCCCGACTTTAACACACCGTTGTTATGCAAAATTTATTAATTTATTTATTTATCGAGGTGTTTTGAAATTTCTAATTATTGTTAGTAGCGTTTGAAGAATAAAAAACAATTATAGACAGTAAATACAAAGACTAATGTGAAAAAAATGGTGTAAACCTTTATAATTCGACATAGACTGCAATGGACAGTGATTTTATTTTTATATAGATTTTTATTAGATTTTAAGTGTTTGTGTATATTTAAGTTCAGTTTTGACACTTTTTTAGTCTTAAGTTTGTTTTTTAAGTGTTTTTTGTAAATAATTAAAAGATGCCGCGATATACAGGACATCGTTGTATAGTGCCGAATTGTAATTCAGGTTATGAATCAACAAAAAGTGAAAAGTGTCACAAGTTCTCCGTTCCATTTGACGAGGAAGATATTCAAAAGTGGAAAAAAATAATTCCTCGTAAAAATTTTGAATTAAAAGGAGGAATGGTTGTTTGCGAGAAACATTTTCTGAAAGATGACATTGTTTGGAGACGGGAAGTAAAAGATCCTGCTGGCAATGTCATGGCATCGGTTTGTATATTTTTAACTTTGTATAATTATTTTTTGAAAGCTAATGAATAAATAAATTAAATTATATGATAATTGTTAAAATTTTGTGTTATAGGAGGAGTTGAAGAAACCTCATTTAAAGAAAGGAGCTGTTCCTTCACAATTTCCGAATTGCCCATCATATCTGTCCCAATCGCGAAAAAAACGGAAGTCGCCAAAAAAAAGAGAGTTTACACCGAAATCTACCGATCATGAAAAATTAAATATAAAAAAAAGAAAAGTCGAAGAATCCAAAGAAAATGTATTTCACGAAGAAATCGAAAATATGCCACTAAATGGAAATAATTTTGAATCAGAGAACTCCACAAAATCTCAAGTAGATGAGAGTTCAACTACAACAGATGAAAATGAAACAGATTCTAAATTTTCGGAGCGAATTGATTTATTCAATTCGCTGTTTAAAAATGAAAATAAAGTTAACATCCCAATATCATGGAATCGACGACGTAGTGAAAAAGATATTCAATGCATTGAATACTCTGAATGCATATCTCGAATGAGAGAAGATAAGCCTCAATTCTTTACTGCAAAACAACTTGTCATTTACAATGACATGCAAATTGTAGCAAAGGTGTCCGGCATAAACTTGCCATTGGAAAAACTTGGCTTAAATACCAACTATGTGTCGACAATTACTGAACTGGAAGAAATTATTAAAAATTTCAATAAAGTTAAAGTTTGTTTGGGATGTGCATCACCAAATACTATCCAGAACATAGAAAACTCATTTGCGGTTCGCGACTCAGCAGGATATTTGAGACATACAAAATGTTCGTTAATAATCACTAGTAAAAAGCGCTTATCATGTGAAACATGCTCGAAAGCGAAGAAGACCCTCGCAAAAAAATTTATGCGCTTTAAGAAAATTAATGAGCAGCGACGTATAGTTTTGAAAATGAGTCCCACAAAAAAGTACAAATTAAATTTAATTAGAAGTAGATTATATAAATCTAATAAAAACTTAGGAAATTATAAAAGTCTCTGTGGACACTACAAAAAGGAACTCAAGGAAAATAAAAAAGAAATGTCCCTTCTTCGGGACAAAAATTTAGACTCAAAAATGGACGATTTAAAAGTAAATAAAAATTCGAGAATTGTCATTAATGAAATTTTATCAGCTTCGAAAGTGAAGGATGCAAAAGGTCGCCGTTACACAGAAGATTGGATTATTTTGTGTTTGTTGTTCCATACAAAATCACCAACAACTTATAATCTTCTGAGAGATAATAAGGTTTTACCTTTACCTGCAACAAGCACCATTCGAAGGTAATATAAAGTTTAACAAATTCATATCTTTTTAAATAATATTTTTACATTACGATAAATGCAACTTAAATTTAAGAAGCATTTTTCTTGATCTAATAATTAAACCTTTCTTTTAAAACAGATATTTATCGTTAATCCAAACGCCTTGCGGATTTGACGACTCGTTTTTTAAATTATTGAATGAGCGTTTATCGGAATTGCCTGACGAATACAAACATGGAGTTTTGTTAGTGGACGAAATGGGGACTAGAAAAAATTTAAGACTAGATCAAAAGAAAATGAAAATTTTGGGTCTTACAGATTTTGGGGACGAAGAATTAAACAAGTCAGTGAAAATAACTGATAAAGCAGATCACGGACTTGTTTTAATGTTCCATTCACTAATGGAATCTTTCTCACAGCCAATTGCTGTTTTTGTTTCAAAGGGACCAGTGGTTGGTACAATATTAGCAAAACTGATTATTCAAGCAATATGTTTATTAGAACAGGCCGGTGCAAAAGTACATGGAGTGGTGTCAGATTCTGCTTCTGCCAATAGAAAGTTCTGGTCTATTTTTGGAGTAAGTGGAGATCTCAAAAATGTTGAATGCAGCTTTGCTCACCCGACTATTGAAAATCGTCGAATTTACGTCTTTGCTGATATTGTCCATTTGATAAAAAGTATGCGCAATCGATTGCACGACAAGAAAACTTTGCGGGTATAAAAATCATAAATATATATTTTTGTAGAAGACTATATTTTTTTAAATATAGATATGTTTAATAATTATTTTATTTCAGGTAAATCTAACAGATCCAGAAATAGATTGGGAATACTTCAGAAAAGTATTTGAAGTGGACAAATATCATGCAACAGGAAAATGGCATCCTAAATTAACGGCAGAACACCTCGATCCAAATAACATGACCAAAATGCGAGTCATTTTAGCAGTACAGGTAATTATATATTTATATTTTCATAAATATAAATATACCAATAGTGTTCTAAACTTTCAATGTATTTTAGATGTTCAGTAAAACAATGGCTGAAAGTCTTTTAAAAGGAGCTTCCGTTTACCCGGATATGTTTAAGAACTGCGAAGCAACAGCAGAATTTTGTTTAAAAATAAACAACTTATTTGATATTTTAAACATAACAAATCCAGAGAAAGGACTTCGAATAGATTCACCAAATTATGAGGTAAGAGAATTACATATTGTTAAAATAGTTTAAAGTATATATTAAAATAGTATAGTATAGTATAGTATTGAATTAATAAATATTTCTTTTTATAGAAATTACTCCAATTCTTAAGTTGGCTCAATGACTGGGAACAACTAGTATTTGATGGGAAATTAAGAAGAGAAGAATGTTTTACAGAAAGCTCTACGACAGGATTGAGAATTTCCATTCATTCGACCATAGGTTTGTCGAAAGATTTATTGGAGAAACATGGATTTCCATATGTTTTGACTGGACGTATAAATCAAGATCCTTTAGAGGTATAAAGGTTTCCAAGTTCATATTTTGTAATTTAATATAATTCTATTTTGGATTTACACAAATAGTCAATCAAATATTTCTCTTAAATGAAATGTTATTCTCGATTTCATTTAAATAAATTCATTAACTTTTAAATACGATTGAGAATGAAATAAAATTTTTAACTAATACTTTGCAAAATATAGTGAAATTTATTAATAAACATAAAAATTAATTTTTAAATATTTTGATATTGAGGAGTATTAAAAAGATGTTATCAAGAATAACATTTCGTTTATATTTCTAAGAAAATATATTTTTTTTTATTTTAATAGTTATTGAAATAATTAGTATATTTTGATTTCAGGTTTGCAGTGATTGAAATTTATAAAATTTTTCCATTTAAATCAGTATTTAAATACATTTTCTTATTCAAATTAATTGAAAATACGAAAAGAAAATTATTTTTATTTGCTGATTTTTTGGTCAACAAGTGTAATTAAAATAATAGATATCTGATTTAAGTAGAAAAATTTAGCAAGTAATATAATTTTATTTTTAATTTGTTTTCAGCTGTAGCTCCTTTTTAATTATACGCTGTTATATAGGATACTGCAGACTATTGAAGGCTCGGAAATATTAGGTTTTATTTTAATTTAGAACACGTCAAGGAATTTTTTAAACCATTGAATCATTAACGTGTTTAAATTCTTAATACATTTTGTGACATTAGAATATTATATAGTTGTGTCTTCCTAATTAATTTTTTTAGGATTTTTTAAGTTGATTCCGTGGCTGCTGTGGTTTTTCATTAATCAAATTTGAAATGGATAAATTTATATCCTGGTAAAAATTTTAGTGATGCAGGTCGATTTTTTACACAAAAAAGGTAGAAAGATTAAATTTTTGTCTTACAAGGTTCTCGAAATTGTGAGATTTTTTCAAACTAGAGTCGATCGACGTGCATCATTACTCCGTTTTATTGATTTGAAATATTCTTGTTTTTTTTCTGTTTTTAATTTATATTTTCCTTGTTTATTTAGCGATTTTTCGGGACCGTTCGATCCGCGGGTGGTACAAATGATCATCCGTGTACGCCTACATTTCTACAGTTGTATAAGATTTTATCTGTACACTGTATTTTAACACCTCCGAAATTAGGAAATTGTTCGAACGATTTTACTATTGATCCTCCTCAGCCATTAATTACAATTACAAAATTAAAAGAATTATACAATTCAAAGGAAAAAAGCTCAATTGAAAAAATTAAAGAAAAACTTATAGTTGTAATTGAGGATGAAGATTCAGATTTTAATGATTTTGTACGTGATATAGATCATGATTATTTCTCTCAAGAAATTGTAGATTGTTTGCTATTTTATACGACTGAAAGAGTATGCAGATATTTAAAAGACCGAGAAAAATGTTCAATATGTTTAAATGCTTTCATGTCTACATCAAATATTGCAACAGATACATTATTTTTTTCATCCAATAGATTACCACGCAGTTACGAAATTTTTATAAATCCCTTACAAGAACTTATACATCCGAACCGTAAATTATACGATATTGTGCTAGAGATCGAATATTTATTCCGGCAACATAGAGAACATCGTAACTGTGTAGACATCATTTTAAACAAAATGTCCTCAGAGCCAATAAAAATTTATTTTTCTTGTAAAGAACACCCTGACAATGCCAGCAAGCTATTAAGTTTCGTAGTATTAACTTACTTACAAATTAGAATGAGGGAGTATATTAATCAGGAAATGGCCTTGTTGAAAAAGCAAAGTATTTATAAGAAAAAGGCAGCAAAACTTTGCACAAGTTGACTAAAAAAGAATTTTATGTTTTCAGATACAAAGTTTCTTATGCATGTATATGTACGTATGTATATAATAAAGAAAAATTTATTCTGTATACCTATGTACTTTTTCATAATATTATATGTAACCTTTATTATTTCCTTTATCACTTTTATATTTATAATATATCTATATACCTAGAGTATTGAAATTGTTTAAACTTACTTTAATCTTACAATCAAACGTATTACAATAGAAAAATGTTACACAAAGTTATTTTTTATTTTTATATTTGGATTTAATTTTAAATTGAAAAATCATATATTATTAAATGAATTGTAATACAGAATTTTTAGAAAGCAATTATTTGTATTTTTGTAATTAAATATTATACAAATTTTAGAAAAATTTATACAGTAAGTTTAATTTCAATGTATCAGTCAATAAATTTTATTTCTTTATTTATTCTTTTTTGCAATTATATTTCTGAAGTATTTTGTACTCATAAAAAATAATTACGTATTACATTAAATTTCTAATCAGACATTCATTAAATCAAGTTGAAATAACTGAATTTAAATAATTTTTATATTTTTATTCCATTAATGTCAGTGTTAATGACGGGCTGATGCACAGTTGCGCACTCTGGGAGACTATGCTAGTACTATGCAAGTGGTGGTCATATATTTGCCGATGCGATCTATAGGAAATTGAGTGAGTCGGACTGGGGTGACACATGTTCGTCATTTACGTCATACTACTCTAGTCAATGAAAAAACTATTTGACTCCAGCAGTTGCGCATGACAAAAGAGAAATTGCCGTAGGCGGTAAATTTGAATTTAAATTTTTTTCTACATTTAATCGCAAGAATTAACTCTTTTAAAAAGTTAAATAAATCTTGACTGTCAAATTTGAATGTTGTTTTGACAATTTATTTGATTTTATTAATCAAAACATTTAGAAATTAAAAATTACGTGTGTGAATTCCGGAAGTGATGCAAAACTGCAAGCAGACAAGAAAACTCATGACTAGTGTCTTCCTTTCTCAAATGTTCTAGTTTGTTATAAATTTTAAACAATATTATTATTACAATCTTGCTTAAATACTGTTATTAATAATATTTTATTCGCAATATAATATTCTTACTAAAGACTTGCTTTGTCGTACAAAAGTGATAAATTATATAAAAGTGTATGCTTTTGTCAAAAGTGTTAAATGTCATTGGTCAAACTAAATAAAAACAAGTTCTTTTTTTGAATTTTCAATCTGAAAATTATCGTGTGACGTATGACGACGTCACGCAACATTGTGATGAAATGATTGAATTGAGGAGATTGAGGATTGAGTTCAATGTTCACGTGGCACAGACAACGAATAACTTTCTTTATTTTTGGCACCTGTTGAGGGCCATTGTCAACAATTAAATTTTTGAAGCACAATCACTGTCGTTAAGTTTACTCAAGTGGAATTATTATTTTTAACAATGTGTCGGAATATCGAGAATAAAAAATCATCTAAAATGCTAATGCCGGTTTTATTGAGTGCATTTGCCATTCCAGTCTCAATGATGTTTTGGATTATAAACGTTGTTTATAAATATTTCTCACCAAATTCAGAACATCATTTCGAAGGTATGAATTGAATAATTTACAAGTGTTGTGACAGAACATAAGTTTTAGTTCATATTTGATGTTTAAATCGTTAAAAAAACATTGGGGTACATAACCTAAAAAAAATTCGTTTTTTAGGTTATCTTGTTATTTCTCCTTGGAGATGGCTCGCTTCGGTTGTTATTCCTCTTTTATTCATTATCTGGGGCTTGAAGAAAAGGAGTTTGGATGCTACTGGAGCACTTCTTGGTAATAAATAAAATTCGATTTTCTAAATAAACTACATATTTTTACTTTGTTTACTATTTATTATACTTTAGCATTTACTTTAGTTTTTGCTTTACTATTTACTTTACTATAAGTTTTTATTTCTTTTTCAATAGGACTTTTGACAGGTTTTATTTTGACTTTAACGAGTTTTGCACATTTGGCCTGTCTAATGGCGTTTTTCGTAAGTTCGTCAAAGGCGACGAAATTTCGAATGGAGAGGAAAAGGAGATTCGATTGTGATTTTAAGGAAGGCGGACAAAGAAATTGGATTCAAGTTTTGTGTAACGGAGGAATGGCTTCGCAATTGGCTTTACTTTATTTATTAGACGTTGGTTGTGGTGAACGGCCTATTGATTTCGTCAAAGACTATCGAAGTTCCTGGTTATCAATTGGAATCCTGGGTAAAATCTCTAATTATCTTTTAAAGGGGAACTTTGACTCCAATTCTTAATTATATCAAGAAAATGATTTAAATCTTCCATAAAATTATTTTTACAGTAATTTTTAGAGAGGAAATCAACGGTCAGAAAATAAAATCTATTAGAAAATATTCTGATCCTTTTTTGGATCTTTATTTTTCTTAAAAATTGATAGATTTTACAATCCATTCGTAATTTTGTAGATTCTTAAAAATTGATAGATTTTACAATCCATCCGTAATTTTGTAGAAAATATGTTTTTGCATTCACAAAATAAAAAAACAACAATGGTATTTTTTTTAGCGTTTTCAACCTAAAAACAATGTTTTTTTCAAAAAAATGCTTCAAAAATAATAAAAATAATTTTTTTTCATTCGGCAATTTTTTTGTGAATAAAAAAACATATTTTATTCAAAATTACGGATGGATTGTAAAATCTATCAATTTTAAAGAAAAATAAAAATCCAAAAAGGGTCAGAATATTTTCTGATGGAAAACCAATTTTTTGTCAGGGAAATTTAGAAAAAATTTGAAATTTTTTTCGACTTATTTTCAAAAATTGCGTCTTTCTTGACTTTTTTTTCCAAATATTCCAAGAAAATATATTTTTGAGTATTAAATGTAGCTCATTTCGATTTTTATAGTGCTAAAAATAACTGTAAACAAATCTTTCAAAAATTATTTTTGAATTATTTTTCTATTTAAATTTTCGAAATATATATTTTAAAAAAGATTTTGAATAATTGAAATTTTGTAAAATTTAATTGAAAATAATTAATTTGTTTCAAGTACTTTGTTAGAATTTTTTAAAATCAACTTTTGAAGAATTTTAATTGCAAACTTAAAAAATAATTGAATTATCAAAAATTTTAATGAAAAATCTTTAAACGTAAATTTAAGAATGAAAATTAACTTCTAATTTTTTTAAATTTAGCATTTTCGGTACTTTCTATTACATATTTCCGAAAATTCAAATACATACAAAAAAATAACATTTTAGAATTATTTTTAACATTTTGGAGGAAAAAATCATGTTCAAAATATTTCATTAAATTTCATCGAAAAATTAATTAGCTTGTTTATTAATACAAAAACTCTTTTAAGAAATTCAATTGTTTTCGAGAAATTAGGTACATAAAAATATTTTTAAAAACTACTTAATTCTTAGAATATATAATAATTTTTAAGATTTAATTATCTTTGAATAAAGCAAATAATAATTTACTTTTTTGGACTTATTGCAAATTAAAAATTTTTTTATTTGCAAATATGAATTTTTGAATAATTTCAGTTTTAAACTTTAAAAAAATTCAATTATTAACTAATTTATTAATTAATTATTCTTGTCTATTAATTTAAAAAATTTTAATAAAATTCTTCGCAAGAATTTAATTATTATTATAAATAATAACATTCTTTGTAAGAATTCAATTATTTTTATAAATAGTAAAATTTTTTGCAAAAATTAAATTATTTCTAAACAAAATTTTATTAACATTTTAAGAACGAATACAATTATTTTCTAAAATTTTAATAAATCCTTGGAAACAATTCAATAATTTTTTTAAATAGTAAAATCTTTGCAAAAATTCAATTATTTTCAAAAAAAAATTTCACTAAAGAAATCAATTTTTTTCTTAATTCATCGTTATACAATATTTCAAAAGAATTTAATTATTTTCTAAAATTTTAATAAATCTTTCGAAACAATTCAATTTTATTTATAAATAGTAAAATTCTTTGCAAAAATTCAATTATATTCTAAACAATTTCACGAAATTTTATTCATTTTCCTTGAAATTTTATATTTTCCTGTGAAAGGAATTTTGTCAGGGAAAATAATTTTAATGTCAGTAAATTGTCAGGGAAATTTCAGGGAAATTGATAAACTGAAACCTGTGACCACCTTGATTTCCTCTCTAAAAATTATTATAAAAATAATTTTACGAGAAATTAAAATCATTTTCTTGTTATAGTTGAAATTGTAGTCGAAGTTTCTCTTTAATAGTTGAAAAATTATTTTCTAGTTTCAAAAAAATTCGATTGTCGATTCAAAGTTTGAAATTTTTACATTTTTAAAATTTTTATTTTACAGGAGCTTTAGCTTGTTGTAATGGAGACACATGGGCCTCGGAATTGGGAACAGTAATTGGTGATTCAGATCCTTTTCTCATTACAAACAGAAAACGAGTACCCAGAGGTTAATAATTTTAATTTCTTTTTAATTATTAAAAATAAATTACATATAGAAATTATTTTCTATATGAGAAATTATTATTACAGGAACAAATGGCGGTGTTTCTTGTATTGGACTTGTGGTATCGCTTCTAGGCGGTTTATTCGTCGGTTTATTTCATTATTTAGCCGTGATCTACACAGTGGATTCAGTAGTTTTGGAATTAGCTGCTCCTCAATGGCCCATTATCGTTGCAGGAGGAATCAGTGGACTCTTAGGAAGTATTATCGACTCAGTTCTTGGAGCAACTCTCCAATATTCTGGTAATTAGCATTCTTCTCTTAAAAATAGTAATTCAAATAATTTTATTTATTTATAAATACATACGGGTTGATTAAATCAAATTGAAATTTAATTAAAATTTAACTAAAATATAACATTTAAATTAAAAGAAAAATTCATAACTATAAATTCTAAAAAATATCTTTTATATTAATAATCATTGTATTCTGGTAATCTGTTCGCAGTTTGAAGTTAGTTGTTTGCTTATTGTTTCCTAACTTTTTTTAATAACTTTTTTCTTATTAAATATTTTCAATTTTAAAATTAATGTCATGAAAATCATTGAATTCTTGTGAAGAATTTTATCATAATTTTTAAAAATAATTAAATAGGTATTTTGAAAGAATTTTATTAAAAAATTTCAAAAAAATTGGATTCAATAGAAAACTTTTATTAAAACGTTTAAAATAATTAATATTTCTTAAAAATTTTATCAAAACTGTTGAAAATAATTATTTTTTATTTAATATTTTTAAAAATAATTGTATTCTTTCGAGAAATTTTATTGAAATTGTATTAAAAGTAATTGAATTCTTTCTAAGAATTTTATCAGAATTTTTGAAAATAATTTAATTTAATTCATATTTATAAAATAATTGTATTCTTTCGAAAAATTTTACTAAAATTAAATTAAAAATAATTGAATATTTCTTTGAAGAATTTAATCAGAATTTTTGAAAATAATTGAATTTAATTCATATTTATAAAAATAATTGTATTCTTTCGAAAAATTTTACTAAAATTAAATTAAAAATAATTGAATTTCTTTAAAGAATTTTATTATTTAGGTATAAAAATAATTGTGTTCTTTCAAGAAATTTTACTAAAATTAAATTAAAAATAATTGAATTTCTTTGAAGAATTTTATTATTTAGGTATAAAAATAATTGTGTTCTTTCAAGAAATTTTACTAAAATTAAATTAAAAATAATTGAATTCCTCCAAAGCATTTTATTATTTATGAAAATAATTGAATTCTTCCGAAAAATTTTTTTTTTGTATAAAAATAATTGAATTCTTGCGAAGAATTTTAAAAAAAATTTTCAAAATCCTAATTAAATTCTTTTGAAGAATTTCATCATTTTATAATTTTTATAGAATATAATTTAATAATTTACTAGAAATTTCTTAAAAATTTTGAAAATAAATTTTACACACAATTTTAGAAATGATTGGATTTTTGAGATTAACTTAATTTTATAATTATACTTTAATTATAATTGAAATTTCTTGTGTTTTAAAGAAGATATTTGAATATTTTTCAAGAACGTTTTGAAAATAAAGGAGTTTTTTTTAAGAAATTTTACAGAAAAAAAGATTTTAATTAAAAAAAAATTAAATTAATTGAAAATAATTAAATGTTTGCAAAGACTTTACTATTTAAAAAAATAATTGAATTGTTTGAATGAATTTATTCAACTTTTAGAAAATAATTGAATTTTTTTATGAAATTTTATTAAAATTATATTGAAAATAATTTAATTTCTGCGAAGAATTTATAAAAAATAATTGAATTCTTCCGAAGAATGTTATTATTTAAGAAAATAATTGAATTGTTGCTAAGAATTATATTTAAATTTTCGAAAATATGAACATTAATAATTCATTATGTACTTAATAAGTGAATTTTTTAAAATTTTGATTATGAAATTATTCAAAAATTTAAATTTGAAAATAAGAAATTTTGTAATTTGTATAATAATAATAAATCGAACATCACATTCCGCGCGCATAACATTTGCTAGTTTACAAAATAAAAGAAAAAGAAATTTAATAATAACTCTGAACTCTGAAGTGGTAAAAAGTTTATTTATAAAGAATATATATTATCAGGAATTGACGAGAATGGGAAGGTGGTTGAGAAACCGGGTAAAGGCGTAAGGCATATTTGTGGGAAACAAATTTTGGATAATCACAGTGTCAATCTTCTGTCAACTATAATCATGGCCTTCATGCTGCCAAGGATAGGAAATTTACTGTGGCCTTAAGTATTTTAATGTTAAGACATTTTTTTTAACCTGCTATTACTCAATTTTAACGAGTTGAAAAAAAGGGACGAACAATTTTTTTCAGAAATGAACAAAAGATATTATTTTTACAATGTATAAATGTTTCGAAGACTTTTAACTCGTGAGTGTATCGATATTGGAATTGAACATATTTATAAATTATAATTCTGAATTCTAAGAATTCTAGTTTAATACCAGTTAGATTTAATTATTATGGCAATCTTGTACCTTATCCGAAGCGATATTATCTAATTTTAATTACATACAATGTATATAACGATTTAAAGAACGTTATATGTAAATTCTAGATTTATTTTATTTATTGTTCTATAAGAGAAATAAATATAAAAAAAAGATATTTGTGGTGACAGTTTAAAAGAGATTTCTACAGTTTTTATTTCAATTTTCTGTTTCATAACTTTCTGTTTTTAAAAAAGTAAAATAATTTTAAAAAATATTTTCGTTTTTCTTCAATATTTATTTTTTTTTGAGGTAAATGGTAAAATTGAAGAAAACTTGATTTTTATAGTTTTATTGTAACTTATATTTATCAAAATTTTCTTTCATATTTTTCTTTTTACAAAACTTAATTAATAAGTACATAATTTATCTTATAAATATCTGTGATATGCTTAATTATCCGACTTTATTTTCAACAATATCTTATTCTTTTTTTTTGGTAAGACTTAAAATTTTTCTTAATTTTATATTTATAAACTGGTCAAGCTTATATTTACGACATATAAATAAACATTTGTACACAGTTTTATAAAAAATAAATTTAAGAAATTCGAAATACTTTGAAAATTTTTTTTATACATTTGTTTATTTTCGGTGGGGGAAATCAATCTTCATCTCTCGTTAATGACGGATGTTGGATCAATGTCTCTTGGATCGCAGGTTGGAGCTGATTCATAGTCATACTTTTTCCTCTCCCGACACCGGACCTGCGTTTGATCGGATATACTGAAACAGTCAACATCCCCCCACAATGGACTTGACTTAACCAGCCATTGGCACGATACGGACAGAAAATTTGTTAATTAGTTTCACATGGACAGTTAGTTTAAATTACATATTTTTGTAAAAAGACGGGACACGGGTTTTTTTTCCATTTTTTTTTAAAAGTTATATGCTTTTTTTTCTTTTGATGATGCACAGTTGAAGGAGAGAGAGACAGATAGAGAGATCTCGTTGAAGAAGGGATTTCACTAGTCCGCATTGCACCATTGGCGGTCCATGCATAAACATCCAACTTTTGATTTTCGACTTAGGTACTAAAACAATATTGTATTAATAATTAATCAATATCTCCTAGACTAATTTAATTAAATTTTGCCCTTTCTAATTTAAAAGTAAAAGTAATTTTTAATTTTTCACAGATAGAAAATAAAAGAAAGAGAGGAGAAGAAGGAAATGAAGGCAAAAGATGATCGATGGTTGTACAAAATACAATAATTGCTACTAACGGATTTTATCTTTTGAATATTTACCGAAACGTTTGTTGTGGTCGTGCATGAAGTCGCTCGTTTCCTGACAAATACTGAGGCTTCCCATCTTCTCTTAAAATGAGTAATCACCTGAAAAGACGTGTCATGAGTTACGAGACAAAAAGGTGAAAATTATTTTCAATTACAATTTAATAAAAAAAAAACAAGGAGTTCATAAATTTAAAAAATAATTGAATTTTATGAACTAATAATTGAATTACAAGTTTTTAAAATAATCGTGTTAGTTAATAATTGAAATTAAACATTTAATTAATAAATTTTATTAAATTTTTAGAAAATAATTGATTTTTTTTGAAAAATTTTATAACAAATTAAGAAAAAAATGCAATTCTTTCGTGAAATTTTTTTAAAAACAAATAACGAATTAAGAAAAAATTGAATTCTTTCGTGAAATTGTTTTCGAATATAATTGAATTTTTTCAAAGAATTTTCTTATTTATAAATATAATTGAATTATTTGAAAGCATTTTTAAAATTTTAGAAAATAATTGAATTTTTTTGCAAAATATTATTAAATTTTTTTTTTAAATGAAATTCTTTCATGAAATTTTATTAAAATTATCTTAAAAATAATTAGATTTTTGCAAAGAATTTTACTATTTGTATAAATAGAATTGAATTTTTTTGAAGAATTTATAAAAATTTTAGAAAATAATTGAATTCTTATGAAATATTTTATATTAAATTATAAGAAAATAATTGAATTGTTTTGAAATATTTTATATCGAATTAAGAAAAAAATTGAATTTTTTCCTTAAATTTTTTAGAAAATGATTGAATTATCTTGAAAAATTTTATAACAAATTAAGAAAAAAAATTGAATTCTTTCGTGAAATTCTTTTGAAAATACTTAAATTTTTGCGAAGAATTTTACTATTTTTATAAATATAATTAAATTGTTTCGAAGGATTTATTAAAAGTTTAGAAAATAATTTAATTTTTTCAAAGAATTTTACTATAATTACAAATACAATTGAATTTTTTCGAAGAATTTATTGAAATTGTAGAAATTAATTGAATTTTTTTTAAATTTTCTATAACGAATTAAGAAAATAATTGAATTCTTTCGTGGAATTGATCTAACCTTTGCAAAGAATTTTCTTATTTATAAATATAATTAGATTGTTTCGAAGGATTTTTAAAATTTTGGAAAATAATTGAATTTTTTCGAAAAATATTATTAAAATTTTTTTAAAAATTCAATTCTTTCATGAAATGTTATTAAAATTATCTTAAAAATAATTGAATTTTTGTAAAGAATTTTACTATTTATATAAATAGAATTTAATTGTTTCGAAAGATTTATTAAAATTTTAGAAAATAATTAAATTCTTTTGAAATATTGTATAACGATGAATTAAGAAAAAAATTGAATTCTTTAGTGAAATTTTTTTTGAAAATAATTGAATTTTTACAAAGAATTTAACCATTTTAAAAATAATTGAATTATTTCGAAGAATTTTATTAAAATTTTAGAAAATAATTGTATTTATTCGTGAAATGTTATTAAAATTTGAATGAAAAATAATTGAATTTTTGCAAAAAATTTTACTATTTTTATAAAATATAATTTGAATTCTTACGAAGAATGTTATTATTTATGAAAATAATTGAATTCTTGCGAAGAATTTTATTAAAATTTTTACAATATTAATAAACAAGAATATTTAAATAATAAATTAGTTAATAATTGAATTTTTTAAAAGTTTGAATCTAAAATTATTCAAAAATTCATATTTGAAAATAAAAATTTTTTTAATTTGCATAATAATAATAAATTGAATACCTATCACGTTCCACGCGTAACATTTGCTAGTTTGAACTAATTTATATTATTAAAAAAAAATTTTTTTATTATTTTTACTAGTTCAATTAATTTGTTATTTTTTAATTAAAAAACAAGAAATATTTATTAGTTAGAAAATAATTATTTTCTATGCATCATTTTTCTAATATAATTTAAATTATTAAATGTAATCAAATTTTACTCTAGTTTAATTATTTTTTCGTTTTTAAATTGGAAATCAAAGAAACAAATTCAGAAATATTTGTTAATTCGGAAATAATTGGTATCAAAGAAGAATTTTTGCTTCAAATATTTACCTCGCCATTGCAAAAGCAGAAAAGTATTGCTACACAAAGACCCTGGAAAATATTCATTTTTTAATTTTTCAAAGCACTTTTAATTATCTTTATTAATTCTTGAATAATCACCTGAAAGGAAGCTGTGATTGCAGAAATGATTTCAAACGGTTGCTCCCAAGGATGTTCTTTGGGAGGTCGAAATGCTACCAAAAGATAATGAAGTCCCAACAGTGGAACCAACAACAAAGTTGCTCTAAAATTAAACAGAAAGTCGATTATTTTTATTTCGAAACGTTTTAATTTTTAATTTACAAAGTTTGAATATTTTTCAAATATTCAACTATTTAAATATTCAAAAATTTAAATGTTCAAATATTCAAATAATTTTCATGAATTCAAATATTTTCCTTCAATATTGAAGAAATATAAATTTTTTAAATACCTAAAAGCCTGAATCATTGCACGCGTTGGTCGTGTACTAATGGCTGGACCATTCCTGAGTTTTGTTATAAGAACTCGAACAATATTACAAAGAAATATTAAATTGAGCAATGTTGAAACACACACTGGATATATTAAAACTTTCATGTAACTTCCCTCGTTCATCCAGCATCTGTAAAATTCCAAACAAAAAAAAACAACAAAACAAAAAAAATTCAAAATGCAAATATTATAGAAAAATATGAAATTCAAATTAGAAATTGAATTAAAATAATAAGGGGCAATTATTTCGATTTAAAAATTAGTTTAAAAATAAAAACAAGAAATGATCTTCTAATTTAAAATAAATTTTTGAGATTATGTATGGATGATAGATAGTAAATTCAATTTCCTCTCAGAGGACCTTCAATTTGCTTTGAGAATGATGGGTTTGATGCTTCAGCCTCTGTAGAAAGGACCTAATCGAATTCTTCATCCTGAATGTTGATAGTATCAAGCCTGCGGTCTGATCATGAATATTTAACTTTTCAATACAGGAATTTTCATAAATAGAAATTATTATTTTTCTCCATTTTCTCAAGTGGAAGGAATTTTTACCTACTTTCGTTTAATAAGACTTGTAAAAAAATTGTTTAAATTCATTAAATAAATATTAATTAAATTTTCTAATTACAAATATTTTTTCTTTTAGTTTCTCTTTTTTAAACTAATTCAATAATTTTCTAAACAAATATTTTTTCTTTCAGCTTTTTTTCTAAACTAATTCAATAATTTTCTAAACAAATATTTTTTTCTTTCAGATTTTTTTTCTGAACTAATTCAATAATTTTCTAAATAAATATTTTTTTCTTTCAGCTTCTTTTTTTCTAAATCAATTTAATAATTTTCTAAATAAATATTTTCTTTTTTTCAGGTTTTGTTTCTCTATTCCTGAAAGTAGATGATTACTTGCAAAAAAAAGAGAAGAAAACTCACTGAGTTGTATCGGTTGGATCATCGCTTATCATCCTCAATATCGAATAAACAATCACGATGATTCCTGGAAAAAACCAGCCAAAACTCACGAGTAATTTCAATAGTTTTTGCTCATTTGTAAAAGCACTCACGAGTATTGTGTGCAAATAAAAACCTTCGCACAGCATCCAGGAATAATTTGAGATTAAAAAGTAGTGGAGAATTATATGCAGAAGTCGACAAATCATCTACAAGAAAAAAAAATTGAGGTAAAATATTATAATTATAAAGTAATGTATAAATATTATTATTTATAATATTTATTATTCAATCGAAAATACTATTTAATTTAGTATCTAAATTATTTTTTCCTAATGAATTAAATACATTTTTAATAAATAAATTTTTTTTTACTTAAGCAAATTTTTTTCTTCTTTGGTATAATTAATTTTTTAATTTTGAAATAATATTCTATTTTTATTGACAGGGAATTCTTTGGGTCAATCGAATACTCACTCCATTGTTTAAAAGAACATCGGGATTTGCCACAATAAATCCGTACCAAATTAACCACAGTGCATTATTGACGGCAAAAGATGCAAATAGATTCATGTGAAGGATTATCCGGGTACATCTTAAAGTTCTGAAAGCGCCAAGTATGTGAAATTATAAATGAATTCAATTTTATTAAGAGAAATTTTATTTATGTAACGTAAATAATATTTCCAATTGTAATAATTAGAATTTTTTACAATTCTCACTGAATAATAAATGACTTACCGGAAATATATCAGGATACCAAGAGACACTAATAGAGCGATCAATGATATTGAATATCCGACTTCGTAGACAATATTTAGATCTTGTTGCCACTGTAATTTAAAAAAAATATAATAATTAACAATATTGGGAAATTTTTATCAAATTGATAAAAAATTATAATTTTGGTCAAAATTAATAACTGAAAATAATTAGAAAATAGTATCAAAAAAATAAAAATTATAATTTTAGTAATAATTAATAATAATCAGTAGAAATAATTAGGAAAAATGATCAAACAGATGAAAATTAAAATTTGCTAATAATTACTAATCAGTGGAAATAATCAGAAAAAATTATGAAAAAGTTGAAAATTATAATTTTACTAATAACTAATAATTAATAATCAGTGAAAATAATTTGGAAAGAGTATCAAAGAAGGGAAATAATAATTTTTGCAATAATTAATAATAAGTGAAAAAAAATTTAGGAAAAATTATCAGAAGGATAAAAATTATAATTTTGCGAATAATTAATAATCAGTGAAAATAATTAAAAAATAGTATCAAAAATATAAAAATTACAATTTTACTGATAATTAATAATCAGTGGAAATAATTAGGAAAAATGATCAAACAGATGAAAATTAAAATTTGCTAATAATTAATAATCAGTGGAAATAATTTGGAAACAGTATCGAAAAAGGAAATAATAATTTTTGCAATAATGAATAATAAGTGAAAAAAAATGTAGGAAAAATTATCCAAGGGAATAAAAATTATAATTTTGCGAATAATTAATAATCAGTGAAAATAATTAGAAAGTAGTATAAAAAATATAAAAATTACAATTTTACTGATAATTAATAATCAGTGGAAATAATTAGGAAGGAAAACCATAATAAAAATTATTGATAAATTTCAAGAAACAGTGAAAACAAAATGCAAATAAGTTGAAAGAAACGAAAACGAAAAAAAAATATTTCTTTTAAATCTAATTATAATTTCTGCAGTTTTTAATATAGTTGTTTACTTGTTTTTTAAAATTAAATATGAAATAAATCTCACTTAATTATACTCGAGATAAATTCATACAAAATAAATAAAAAAAAACGCTAATCCAATTTTTTTTTTATCATTTTGAAAGGATTTAAATTTCATTTCTCATTTTAAACATGTTCTCTCCATTACTCCATTATAATAGAAAACAAGAATATTATATTTCATATTAAAATTCAGAGGTGGAAAATTTTACTGATAAAAATTATTTTAAAAAAATAATATTATACCTACACCAAGATCTGCAATATTGACGCAAGTTGTGTAGTTGCTCCAAATTTTTTGCGAATCCGGATGTCGAAACCATGTTCCATTTGGTTCGCAGTATTTAAATGCCGTCACTGAAAAATTGAAATTAAATTAATAATAGATCTAAAATTAATTAGCAAAAAGGAATTATTTTAATTAATATAATTTTGCAATTACGTTTTTGCAATTATACGGTTAATAATTTAGCATTTTATTATTCATTATTATTATTATTATTATTATTATTATTATTAATTAATTATAATTAATTTTGCAGTTCTGCAATTAATTTAGCATTTTTTTATTTAATATTATTGTAATTAATTTTTGCAATTTTTTTATTTTTCAATTAATTTTTTTGTTTTTGGTCTAAATACTATTCTTTTATTTGTATAGCGTCAAATACGAAAGTAAATCAATTTAAAAATTACGTTTAAATAAAAATTATTTATATTAGCAAAAAACAATTTGCAATTGCAAAAAATAATTTGCAATTGCAAAAAATAATTAATGATCCATGTGGGGATTGAACCCGCGTCCTTCGCAAAACAGATCGCGACGCTCTAACCAACTGAGCTAATGGATCTTGATTGTTTATTGTTTCTAACTTTTTTAAGAATGAGCAAATTTTTTAACTGGAGGAAAAATAAAAATCGCAAGAAAAATGTAATTTCAGTATTATTACTATATATTGCAATAATCAATACGGATTTACTTAATTTAATAGAACACAATAAATATTAAACTAGTTTAAACTTTAAAATTCGGAAAAAACATTAAAAAATAAATAAAAACTTTTACCAATTAAAAATTAGGAAACTAATTTACTAATTAGAAAATTAGGTAAGAAGGGGAATTTTTATGTTTTAATTATTATACGACCCCGCTTAATAGCAGGGTACACAAAAAATTAGAGTTAAGACTCATCAGTGTTCCCCTCCACGGAAATCTTTAGTAAAAGGCGAAAGATTTATACGCATTTTGAAGGGGAACCAGAGTTGTTGAATCACTCGAGCAGCCGCCTATTTATACCCTAGCAATATCACGCTAACTGCGAGAGAAATGTTTTCCGCCCCCTAGCATCGAAATTAGAAACTAAAGTACACCCTTTAAACCCCCACCGCCCCAAAAAACATCATCTATCAAAAGCGCGCCAATTTTGAATTTCCATTTCATTTTTGAATTTAAAATTATGGAAAAAATTAATTCCATAATTATTTATAGTAAAATTAAAAAATCCTATTATTTAAACATTAATTAAAATTTACTTTTCTTTAAATATTTCTCCAGGCATTTTTGTTCAGAAATTTTTTCTCTCTAATCAGAAGTATTTAAAATAATTATCGAGTGCATACACTTTTATAAAAGTAAAGTAGGTATATTTTTTTTTGCAAATAATCAGAAGGGTAATTAAGATAAGGATACTTCTAATTGTATGTGGAATTAAGGTCACTCATTTTAGTAAAACTAATCTAGTATGGCTTGGAAGTGAAGTATAATTGACTTAGAAGCATATCCCTTTGATGCATATTAATTAGACAGGGCACATTTCCAAAGCTAACGGTTTCTATAGATTAATTTATCTTGAAAACAATTATACGATAAGTCAATAATCTTATATCTCTCTCACGGAATTATTTGTCTTTTTTGTTTAAATTAATTAAATTCATTAATTAATTCATAAAATAATTACAAATTTTTTTTCCCCAATTTTCCTGTACATAGGCAACCAGTTTTACTTTAGTGTAAAGCTGATTTCTCTGGTTTGACTTTTGTCACTTATAGGTTAGTAACAGTCTGATAATGAACTTATTAAAAAGCAATTACTTATTGAGCAGTATTGATTAATTTAGAAGTGAAGAATAAAAGTTGAATGTTAAATATATACGTGTTGTGTACTATATATTGCAAAAAAGTGTTTACAATTGTTTTGCGAATGCGCACAGTTAATGACACGCCCATTAAATTCCGTTATTCTATCTTGTTTTGTGCAGACGTCTGGTTTATTTCCTTTTTTTCTGGATAATTTTTGAAAAGAAATTCGCAGTTTCTACAAATTTATATGTAATTCTATTTGAAATTGAAACGAAGCAGATATTATTGTACGTATTATTTTTTATTTCTATTGAAAATCTATAAAATATGACGCATTTTTTCATTATCTTAACCTCAAATCTTTTTAGCCGGTTGAGTCATAATTTTAAATAATATATACACGTATACATATAATATGGCTTGTTAACAATTTATAAAATAATACAAATAAATACTAAAAATATTAATTATTCTGTTGGTTTTACTATTTGAGTTTTTTCCAAATAGTTTGAAATTATTTTCGTTTTGTCATTTTTCAAATGTTTTTAATACTTGAAAATGTTTATTTTTTTATATTTTAAATTTCAAATAAAACATTTTATCAAGTTTTCCTCAAATTATGCGATAATTTCTCGAAGGCTTTTTATATCACCTGATAAGTTTCACAATCATAGAAACTAAGTTATCGTTTTCTTTTGTAATTTTTTTTCATTTGTGAAAATTAGACAGAACTTTGGAGAGTCAATTAGCAATAACTTTAGTAATGTAATTTTAGTTTTTATTTATTTAATTTTATTAATGTTAAGTTAATTTTTTTTATACTAATGACGAAAATTTAATATTTTGTAAACTAATATTTCCATACATTTAAATATTTCTTAGCTGCATTTAATTTATTTTTCAAAATACTTTCAGGAAAAATTTTACATCCGAAAAAGAACGAAAAATCGACATTTTTATTATTTGTAAATTAATTCACAAACTTGCAAAATAATTCGTTTCAAAAATGTGAATTTACGGAGAAATTATTTTTCAAAAATATAGTCCTGAAAATTGAATAATTCCGTTTATGAATTTCCCTCTTTGAATAAAATTCTTTTTTTTATTTAATTCATTTTGTTGGAATTAAATTCTCTTTGAAAGAGTTTCTCTTTTGAAAGAAATTTTAATTTCTGACAATTGGCTTTTCCAAATTTATTATTTAAAAAAAGGACGAATTTCATAAAAAAAAACTAATACAGAGATTTTAATTATTAATTAAAGGTTTCCATTGATGAGCAAAGAGAGAAAAGTTTGACAAGAATCAGAAAAAAATAGAAAATGGATTCAAAATCACCATATTTGGAAGCAATTCAAGGAATTCCGGGAAAAACGGCCAAAGAAAAGTATGAATCTCTCAATAAAATAATAAATCAAACGATTGAGCATAAAAAAGTACCGGGTGATTCAAAATCAAAAACAATATACGGATCGGAAATTCCCAAAGATTTGGAACCGCTTATTACGACGGAAGTTGCAAAAAAAGAAAAAAAATCGGAAGATATTGTCACAGCGTTCAAATCAGATGACGCTGTCATTATAAATAGAGCATTGCAAGCCGATTGGTTTTTTGACGGAAGTTTAAAATCGATAACAAATTTCAATTATTTTTCGAAAAATATTTTCCCCGAAGTGTCCGTGAATACGAGAACAAATATTATAAAACGTTTGTCACAATGTTTGGGACACAAAAAAGAATATGATTTAGCGAAAGAATTTTACGAGGGTTTGGAGAAACTTTACAATTTAAAGCAAGCGAGACCACTCTTATCAGCTTGTAGTGAAACTTATCTCGCGGAAATTGTCAAAAACAAAAATATCAATTTACCCAAAAAATTGATAAATCGTCTATTTTCCAAATATCCGCAATTGGTTATTGATTATTTCAAATTTGGTTCTCCGTCTCGAGGCAATGAACGTGTTGTAAACGCTGCAAATATCGAAGATTACTGCGACATTTTACCGAAATTAATCAAAAATCACGTTAACGATTTTATCGATATTATCAATTCACGAGAAAATTCTTTGAACGTCAACTTGGGAAAAAAATGTGCGGAATATTTTTTACAAAGCGAAAATGGTCTCGAAAATTTGATAAACACACCGAAAAAATTTCTCCCCTTACTATCGTTGAAAATTGTCACGAAAAAATTAAATAAAGAACAATTTGAATTAATGTTCCGAAATATATTTCCAAAAAAATCCGATGAATTCAATTTTGATGTAATTCTCTATTATCTTGAATTCCAATCGCCAGAAATGAAATTGCCCTTAATTTTGAACACATTCAAAAATGTCTATGGAATCGATCTTTTGACATTGGACAATAAAGTGACGGTAAAAATGCTTCTGATGTTGCCAAGCGAAGATCGAATTAAAATCGTTAGGCAAAAATTACTCAAGGAGACTGACGATAAAAATCCTTGGAAAAATTGGGACGAATGTTGGACTTGCTATTTGCCATCACACGAGTCAATACCAAAATTAAAGGACGAAATGTCGAAATCAAAAAAAGTTGATGATCGAATACCTCTCATTGGAAAATTATTATACACTTGTAAAGTTAATCAGAATGACGATGATTTGATTCAAGTTCTACAATACTTTTCATCGAAACATCGCAATGAAGTCTCGTATTTTTGGACAATTTTCTATGACAATCTTTTGAAAATATTCCCCCTCGAGACAATGAGTAAAAAATTCTGGGAGATTTTAAACGAAATGATACAGAGATCTTACGTGAAGAATATTCTCATGGAGAGAATAGAAATTTCCGAGCAACTTTTGGAAAAATCAATTCACTACAATTTAATCAACAATCTTTCCATTGATGACCGAATGACAATGTTGGCCGAATTAAAAATAATTGGTTGGAACAGTCATTTTAATATAATCAAAGAAAATCCCAAATTCGAGAGAATTTGTTTAGAAAAATTTCTCGATCTTATTCCGCGTAAATTTCCCGAAGATCATACAGCGTGGAAGGATAATAAATTGGATACGATAAAATATCTTGTCAATGATATTTACGATTACAACAAAAGAATGAAATTGTCCGCCATGAAAAATCAACAAAAATTCTTAGAGAAGGAATTCACGATTAAAAACTATCCCTGGCTGTTGGATGAACTGAATAAAGTGATTCACACCGAGGACTTTAAATATCACTACAAAATTGAAGACGTCAGGGAAATTTTGTCTGAGAATGAACCGGAATTATATCGGGAATGGTTTCCGGACGAGGAAAAAATTGCGAAAGTGGACAAACAGGAGGGCTTGAATTTACTCAAGAAAAATCCGGAGAAAATTGTCCAAAACTGGCAAAAATATTTGGAAAGTTGTGAGCAGAATCTCTATTACGTTCATACAAGAAAATTCCTTAAAAAATCCATCTGGTATTCGGAAATTCCAATCAAATTTCTAGAAGAGACGTTAAGGAAATTATCCGAGGGAAATGATAATTCGATAATGATTCTCGCTCTCCTACTTCCGGGGAGCGAATTTGAGAAAAGAATTCAACACCTAGTGCCAAATTCGGAAAGGATGGACATCGATGGAGACGATGCGAGAAATCTTTACTCGCAAGCTTCTTCAATTCCGCCAGCAATCAATGAATTAAATCCCCCACCACCTTTGGAATTAGTCGCGAAATTTTGCCAAGGCGATTATTTACATCTCGGCGTGACTTCATTGATGAACATCGCTCGTCGTGTCTCGGTCCATCAGGTCACCGCATTTGCCTTGACATTAATTTCCAAACCAATTTCCGTCAAAAAACACGCAATTCGTCTTTTATCCGTAGTCTCACCCTCGGCAAATTTCTACGAATTTCTCCAACATATGTGGACCACGGAAACCCATAAATCAATCCGTGAAATTGTCTTCGAAAAAAGTTATCAATTATTTTGCACTCAACCATCGGTGGCAACGTGGAATTTAATAAAAAATATGATAGAAACCTTAAAAGTTGACGATCGTGAATGTTTCGATCTACTAAAAAATCTCTCAAAAATCCCCAATGATTATTTAGAGAAATATTTCCAAATTTCCCTACAGAGAATCGAAAAATTGATAACACTTGGCGAAAGCAGTTCGTTAATTTCCGTAAAATTACGTTTATTCTCCCAATTAGAAGTCGAACATTGTCAATTTTTCTCCGAAGAATATTGTCAATATTTATTGAAAAATTTCACTTTTAATTTTGAGAATAATATCGAGATTCTCCAAGCTGGTCGTGTGTACGCGACACAAATTTTCCTCAATGATAAAAATAAACTCGACACTCGTTTGACGTATTTTTGTAATTTATTGCAAACGGTTATTAATCAAAACTGGAATAAATCACATTCGGATAATTGTCGTTTCTATCCGATACGAGAATTATTTTCCAAACTTGTCAACGATTTGTATTACACCAAAGATGGTGATGTAAAAATACTTAAGGCACTTTTTAATTTGTTTGAAAAATCCATACCACCGGTTCAAGATTTTCGATCATATTTATTATTGTACTTTGGTATTCATTTAAAGGAATCGGAATTTCAGGGAAAAGTTTTTGCTACTACGATTGGAAAAGAATTATCGTCGATTGTTGCAATTTTTTCCCCTGAAATGCTCTGTGAAATTGGCAAATTTTTAGCGTCATTTTTAAATTCAAGTCAAATGCATACCGATAATGATATAATTAAATCGGTGATTCAATCGTTTATTGAGTTAAATGAAATTTATTCGTCAATTATTGCCGTAACTATTTTCGCTGAATTTCATACGAAAATCTCAGATGATATGTATAAAAATATTGTGGAAAAATTACGTAAAGTGAATCATCCAACAGTTCAGACAGTTTTGAATAATCATATAATTGACGTTACTTTGGATGATGTTTATCGTGGAAATAATTAAGTGTGTAAATAAAAATTCTCGAAAATTTTTAAAAAAATTTTAAAAAAAAATTTTTGAAATTAATTTTTTAAATCAATTTTTAAATTAAAATTAAAATTAATTTTTAAAAATAATTTGTTGAATTAATTTTTATTATTAATTTTGTGACTTAATTTTTATAATTAATTTTGTGAATTAATTTTTATAATTAATTTTTTTAAATTAATTTTTTGAATTAAAATATTCGGATTGCATCATCACATTTTATTAGAAGCAAAAAAGAGTAATAAAAAAGAAAATTGAGAATTTTTATTAAAAACATTTGGCGACATGTGTGTCAATAATTTCCGATAAAAATACGAGTTTACAATTTCACGATACGAATTACGAATATATATAAATTAAATACAGTCTCTAATATAAATGCCTCTAAATTGAATTTAGAGGAAAAGATTAAAAAAAACAAGATATCTGCTTTTTTGCAATTAAAAATATTTTTTCTATTTTATATAAATATACCAAAAAAATAGTAAATATTCTATAATTTTTTATAAATTAAGCACTTTTTTGATAAATAAATTTAAAAAAAAATTATAAGTAAATATTGAAAAAAAATTGTAACAAAAATATTGAAAAAAAAATGTAACAAAAATATTGAAAAAAAATTGTAACAAAAATATTGAAAAAAAAAATTGTAACAAAAATATTGAAAAAAAAATTGTAACAATAATATTAAAAAAAAATTATAACTAAATAATATTGAAAACAAAAATTGTAACTAAATAACAGTGAAAAAAAATTGTTAAGTACATTAATTAAAAACATAAAATACAAAAAAAAGAAATTATAATTTAAGGAAAAAATATTTTAAAAAATAGAAAAATAAACTAAAATTAACAAAAAATCAAACTTAAAGCTTTAGGAAATGAAAAATTTTCCCAAAAAAAAATCTTTGCGTGATTGCTTATATGCGTGAAACTTTTTTAGCGACACTTTTGAAAAAAACTATGTAAAAATTATTAACTACACTGTTTATTTTTATAAGGAATGAAAATATTATTTTAAAAAATAATAATAATTAAGGAATTATTATAAGCAGCTATTTTGTGATCAAGAGTTTAAATACCACACTTTGTTAATTGAATATGAATAAAATTGTTTATATGGCTTTATATTAGTGTATTCTATAATATTATTCCTGATGGCTTTTAGAATTTGATTTTACGCTTTAAATATTTCATAATAAATTTCGTTTCTGAACAATCTCGATATTATTGATTAGTAATTACTTTAATTTATTTTTATCAATATATGGAAATATTAATTTACAAAAAAAGACAAAGTAAAAAAAAATTTTAATGTTATTTCTAAATTTATTGCAATATTAACAATAGTATTATTTATTAAAAAATTAAAAATTGTTTAAATTTAAAAATATTAAATTTTATAACTCAAAACGAACAGTACCTAATTAATAAGTGCTGATAAATTAATGAATGATTAAATTTTATTTTAATTTTATTCAATAATATTTTGAATTTGAGTTTGAATTAAATTACATCATTTTTATTATTGGAATGCCTATTGTATTTAATTATTTTTTAATTTTTAAAAATTATTTTTGAATTGTTAACATTATTTTTAATTGCGGTAAAATTATTTTCCAATTTGTTAAAATTATCTTTCAATTATTAAAATTATTTTTTAATTAATGTTCCTAAATATTTTTGAACGTAGAAACAAACGACAATATTTTTGTTTTACTTTTAATTTTTTATTTAATTAAAAAATATTTTCTATTTAAAAAAAATTAATTCTCAACTGAATATTTGTTGAATTTACATTATTTTACAATTTAGTGCAGTAATTTGTGAAAATATTTAAATAGAATAGAACAAATTTTATCAATTTGAATGCTCACAATGCTAACGTGTAATTATAATAAATTGTTAAAATTATTTTTCAATTTTTGAGAATATTTTTTATTCATTAAAAAAATTAATTTCTAATTTGGAAGATTATTTTTTATTCATTAAAAAAATTATTTTATAATTTTTAGAGAATATTTTTAAGTTTAAAAAATTATTTTCTAATTTTTAGAGATTATTTTCATTTAAAAAATTATTTTCATTTTCTGAGATTATTATTTAATTAAAGAAAAATTATTAAAAATTATTTTAAGTTTATTTTTTGATTTAAAAAGTACTTTTTTATTTTTCCAATTGACTCATCAGAATTAAAAATAAATTTCCAATTACAAAGATAAAATATTATATGAAATGTTTGAAATTCCGGTTTTTACGTCATTCTTTGTGGGCAAAGTAGCGAACTGCTGATTATAACAGTGCTTATAGCTTCGAGGAGAATAATAATTTTTATTTACAGAGAATAAATTTTATTTCGAAAGCAAAAGGAGAGGACAATGCATAAAATAATACAAACTAAATTTGGATTAATTCGAGGCCTTGCGAGGACAAATGTCCTTGGTGGAAACTATTTTTCTTTCAAAGGAATACCGTACGCCGAACCGCCTGTAGGCAAATTACGATTTCAAGTATGTTTCATATAATAATAAATTACCATTTCCCCTTTATAAGCGCCTAGTCATTATTACTTGTCATTTATGACAAGTAATATAAAGTTATTAATTATTATTAATTAAAAATCGTTTCAAAAAGGAATTTATCAATAAAAAATTATTTTTAATCTCAACAATTTATTTTTAATCTCAATAATTTATTTATGATATCAAAAAATTATTTTTTATTTTAATAAATTATTTTGACCCTGAAATTATTTCGAATCTGAATCAATTATTTTTAATTTCAATAAATTAGTTTGAATCTCAATAAATTGTTTCTAATCACAATAAATTATTTTAAATCTCAAATTATTTTTGAATTTCAATTTTGAAATTCAATAAATTATTTTGAATCTCAATAAATTATTTCTAATCACAATAAATTATTTCGAATCTCAAATTACTTTTTTATCTCAATGAATTATTTTGAATCTCATAAAGTATTTTTAATCTCAATAAATTATTTTATTTATTGAAATATTAAAAATTATTTTTTGAATAATAAATCCTTTTTTTTATTGAAGGACTAAAAATTATTTCTCAAATTATAAATAAATTTATTTATTTGAAATAAAATTTTTTTTTCAATTAGAAATCGTTTTATTTACTGAAAAATTAAAAATAATTTTTTCAATAATAATAATAAAGAAAATAGAACGAAAATCTAAATAATGTTCTGTTTTTTCAAAATTAGGATCCAATACCGTGGACGAAAAATTGGAAGGCCGTGAGGGATGCAATTGAGCATGGAAATGTTTGCGCTCAATTTGATAAAATCACAAACTCCATTCATGGAAGTGACGATTGTCTTTATTTGAATGTTTATACAGAATCTGTAGAAAATGAAATTCCCCTGCCAGTCATGGTTTGGATTCATGGAGGAGCTTTTCTTTTCGGATCAGGGAATGAAGATTTATATGGACCCGATTATCTTCTCAAAAGAAAAATAGTTCTCGTGACTATGAATTATCGACTCGATGTCTTAGGTAATAAACCGATTAATTAATGAAAAAAAATATATTCAATTTTAAACTCTTTCGAAAAATCCATTTTTAATTTGTATTTTATTTCGAATTTTTTTTATTTTATTCTATATTTTTATTTTCATTTTATTTCAAAATTTTTTTTCATTTTATTCCATAATTTTATTTTCATTTTATTTCGTATTTTATTTTGTATTTTAATTTTCATTCTATTTAGTATTTCATTTTGTATTTTAATTTTTATTTTATTTTGAATTTTATTTTGAATTTGAATTTGCATTTTAATTTTCATTTTATTTTAAATTTTATTTTGCATTTTAATTTTCTTTTTATTTTGAATTTTATTTTGCATTCTAATTTTCATTTTTTTGAATTTTATTTAGCATTTTCATTTTCATTTGAATTTTATTTTGATTTTTATTTTAAATTTTATTTTGCATTTTAATTTTATTTTTATTTTGAATTTGAATTTTATTTTGCATTCTAATTTTCATTTTTTGAATTTTATTTGGCATTTTCATTTTAATTTGAATTTGATTTTTATTTTAAATTTTATTTTGCATTTTAATTTTCATTTTAATTTAATTAACCTCGTAATTTTGCAGGTTTTCTTAATCTGGGAATTGAAGAAGTGCCGGGAAATCAAGGACTAAAGGATCAAGTAATTGCACTTCAATGGGTGAAAGAGAATATATCAAAATTTGGCGGCGATCCAGAAAATGTTACAATATTTGGCGAAAGTGCGGGAGGCGCTTCTGTACATTATTTAACTCAATCCCCATTGGCGAAAGGTAAAATTGAAAATTCAGAGGAATTATTTTCACTAAAGAGAGAGAGAGAGAGAGAGAGAAAAAAAACAAAAAAATTTACCACCCTCTTTGAATGTTTAATTAAATTCAACAGGTTTATTTCATAAAGCAATTTGTCAAAGTGGCGTCGCCAACAATACTTGGGCGAATATGCACGAAAATCCAATGCATTATGCTTTAAAATTGACAAAAAAATTGGGAAACAATTCAACGGATCCCGTGGAGATGATGGAATTTTTGAAGACTGTCGATTCGCACAAAATAATCGAGGCCCAAACGACAGTTATCACTAAATTGGTAAGTAAAAAATTTAAAATAAACTAAATAATTAATTAAAATAAGTAAATAAAAATGAGTAAAAATAAAATAAAATAAATGAAAATAAATAAAATCAAACAAAATAAAATAAATGAAAGTAAAAAAAAAATAATTAAAACCAAATAAATTGAATTAAATTAAATAAAAGGGGAAAAATTATAAAAAATTAATTTCCACTTCTAGAAAGATTAAAAATGTTTAATTTTTTTCAGGAGAGATTTAGATTGCATTTCACCAGTGGTCCGACGACGGATAATAAATCAAAAAATCCTTTTATGCCTTATCCAATATCTCTTGATAGTTTAAAAGAAATTAAAATTCCTTTGATGCTTGGCTACAATTCGCGAGAAGGACTTATTATGCTCGCAGGTTGAATTATTCATAATTTATTAACAAGAAATATTTTTATTTCTTTCATAATTCTCCTAAAGTTTTGAACGTTCAAATAGTAGACGAAATTTTATTTCTATTACCTGAAATATTTTCAAAAAAATTACCAAATAAAAAATAAAACTAATAAAATTAACTAAAACAAAACATTTATTTTAGTCGAAAATTAATTTTTGATTCACTAATTTTTTAATAAAAAAATACAAATTAAACGAAGTAGAAAAAAATGTCCTTTATTTGAACGTTTGAAACTAGAAAAATCTTTCTTTTTTTCGTCTAATTAATTTAAATTTTAATTTCGTTCAACTAAAGTTATGAATTATTAAATCAGGAATAAAAAAAGTGTAATTTTATTTCTTTACTATATTTTTAGAGAAAAATTTTTGTAACTATTTTTGTTCACAAAAAATAGAATAAATTATTAATTTCAATAATTAATAAAAATTAATTAATTTCGTATTGGTATTATTTTTAGGAATGAACGAGAAAAACTTTGAACAATATGATTTGCGATTCCCCGAACTAATACATCCGAGTTTCGTCGATTGGCTGAAAGAAAGAGGCATAACGCTACAAGAATTACGTGAATTTTATTTTGGAAATAGAAAAATAACTTCGAAATGTTCAGTGGAATATGCGGATTTGGTTGGCGATACGTTATTCGTCAGTGGATTGCACGATGTGGCTAAAGTTCAAATTAAAAAAAAAGGGACTTCACCTTTTATGTATCAGTTCACCCACGATATTGGAGCGTCGTTTATGAAAAAAGTTCTCAGCGTCAGTGAGCCAGGTAAAACAATTTTTAATGAAGATTTAAAAAAAATTCTTTTATTTTTTTAATAGTGGAATTTTTTTTCTTAACGTGTGGAAAATTTTTATCTTTCAGGCGCTTGTCATTTTGACGAAGTACAATATTTATTTCACATTGGAGCATTAAAAATGTTGGAACTACCATCGCCGTTGACCGATGCAACTGAGCGGAAATTAATGGAGAGAATGACGAAAATGTGGACTGACTTTGCAAAAACGGGGTAAATTAAATTTAAAAATAATAGAAAAAAATTTTAAATTGGAAAATTAATTAAATTAATTAAAAAATTGAAAACAATTCACTTGCTTTGAACGTTTAAATGAACGACATATTTTTTATTTTAAATGTTTTCGCTAAATAATTACTCATTGTAATAAAAGTCTTAATTTTTACAATTAGACTTTATAATTTATTTTTGATAGTCAAAATTTTTTTTTAGTGACACAAAATTGTTGTAATAAATTTAATTTCAAGAAGAAAGAAATTTTCGTTTATTTAATCGTTCAGTGCTTTTAGGATAATCTAAATTCGTTTGAATAATAATTTTCAATAACAGAATTTCCTATGATCCTCGAGTTTTGAACGAAATTTTTCACCAATGTAAATATGTATTTTCAAAAAAATTACCGATTGCCACGAAGCAAAGACAAAATTAAAATTAACAGTTAGAATCTAATTTTTTTTTAATACGTCACGCAAAATTGTTGAAATAAAGAAAAATTAAAATTACATTTAACTAAAATAAACTTTTTCGACTTTTTTCGACTTTTCTAAGGAAATATGACTTTTTTTCGACTTTTTTGTGAAAAAATGCGACTAATCGACTTTTTCGAGATTTTTTTTTAGTAAAATACGACTGTAATTTTAAAAATTTTTCAAAATTGAAAGAAAAAAGTTTGAGTTAAAAAAATGTTCTGTTACATAATATTTACAAATGTCTTTCAAATTTTTCAAAAACATCAATAACTTCTTTTTTAAATAAATATTTAATTATTATTTTTCCATAGGAATTAAAATTCTTCAAAAGATTCAAATTCAAACCTTTTTGAAATTAAACAACTTATAAAAAATTGTTATAAAACATGAAGAAATCGATCACTCCAAGTCTTCGACTCGGAGCAATCGATGTCTTCATGTTTTATAATAATTAAAGAGGATCGAGTGTTAAAATCATTATTTTATATTATAAGACTTTATAAAAAAAAATAATTTTTGAATTATTTTTTATGAAAATAATTGAATTATCGGGAACAAATTTATAAATAATTAGTAAGTAATTGAATTTTGCAGAAGAATTTTGATATTTACAAAGTTAATTGAAATTTTGAGAAGAATTTAAAAAAAAATTTTGAAAATAATTGAATTTCTGCGAAGAATTTTCTTACTTTTGAAGATAATTGAATTTTGCAAAGAATTTTATCATTTTATATATATATTTTTTTTTATTTTGAAAATAATTAAATTTTCAGGGTGAATTTTATTGTTTATGAAGATAATTAAAATTTTGAAGAGAAATTTTAAAAAAAATTGAAAATAATTGAATTTCTAGAATGAATTTTATTATTTATAAATATAATTAAAATTTTGGAAAATAATTGAATTTCGGAGAAGAATTTTATTATTTATAAAGATAATTGAAATTTTGAACAGATTTTTTAAAAAATCTTTAAAAATAATTGAATTTTGCAGAAGAATTTTGATATTTATAAAAATAATTGGAATTTTGAGAAGAATTTAAAAAAAATGTTTGAAAATAATTTAATTTTTCTAAAGAATTTTCTTACATTTGAAGATAATTGAATTTTGCAAAGAATTTTATCAGAACTTTTGAAAATAATTAAATTTCCATGATGAATTTTATTATTTATGAAAATAATGATAATTTTGACGAGAAATTAAAAAAAAAATTTTGAAAATAATTGAATTTCTGCGAAGAATTTTATTACTTTTGAAAATAATTGAATTTCTAGGATGAATTTTATTATTTATAAAGATAATTGAAATTTTGACAAGAATTTTATTAAAATTCTTTTGCAAATAATTGAATTTTAGAAAAGAATTTTATTATTCACAAAGAAATTATAAATTAAATTTATAATTGAAATTTTGAACAGATTTTTTTAAAAGTAATTGAATTTTGCAGAAGAATTTTGATATTTATAAACATAATTGAAATTTTGAGGAGAATTTAAAAAGAATTTTGAAGATAATTGAATTTTTGCGAAGAATTTTATTACTTTTGAAAATAATCGAATTTCAGAGAAGAATTTTATTAAATTTTTTTTAAATAATTGAATTTCGGAGAAGAATTTTATTATTTATAAATATAATTGACATTTTAAAGAGAATTTTTAAAAAAATGTTAAAAATACCTAATTAAAATTTTGCTATGAATTTTATTAAATTTTTTAAAATTTTATTTCGGATTGTTTGATATTAATGTATCTGTTGTCGAGAAATGTGATATTTTTTTTTTATTTTCATTTGGAACTTTAGGAACATAATTATTCTAAAGAAACTTAAAAATTTACTCGACGAAAAAATTGATTATTAATCATTTTTTTCAGAAATCCAACGCCGATGGCATCGGAAGAGATTCCTCTGAATTGGGAGCCAGTTGATGATACTACACATTTCAAGTGTCTAAATATTCAAAAAGATTTGAAATTAGAAACAATTCCAAGCTGCGAACAATTATTTTTAACACGAAGAAAATTAAGAAATAAACTTTAATTCTTGGTGCATTTTTAAAAAAAATTTTAGAAGAACAATTTATACTTTTTTGATATCTGAGTTGTGGTAAGAAGTCGTGTTTAATTATTGTAAGATATTTCTACTTTTTTATAAAAATATTGTAAATAATAATAATGAATTTACGTAATTTTTTAATTACACGAGATCAAAAGAACTGTTGTGTAAAATAAGTTGTAAAGATAATTTAATTAGATTATTCTAATTTATGTCTAATTTCATTAGATTATTTTAAATTGCATCTCATTTCATTAGATTATTTCAATTTTTATCTAATTTTATTGGGATATTTAAATTTTTATCTAATTTAATTAGATTATTTCAATTTATATCTAATTAGATTATTTTTATTTACATCTTATTTAATTAGATTATTTCCATTTTTTATCTAATTAGATTATTTTAATTAGATTATTTAAACTTAAAACTAATTTAATTGTCAATTGTTAAAAAAATATTTGAAAATAGTAAACGAAAGATTTTGCTAAATATTTTCAATACTTAAAAACCCATTGAGAGAATTTTTGGAAAAATATTTTTATTTATTTAGTTATCAATAATATTATTTATTTAATGTTGACTTCTTTCTTCTTATTTAGAAGAAGAATTTATTCTTCACTAAAGAATTAATATTAAAAAATAATAGAATAGAAAAATTAAAATAGAATTTATTAAATTGAATTGATGAGAATTCTCACCAAAGAAGAAGAAAGAAATTAGTTCTTTTGTTAGTAAATTTCCATTTTTTTAATTTGCAAAATAATAGCAAAATAGTTATTAATTTAATTAATAATTTTAATTTCCATGTAATTTTATTTGTTTTCTGATAATTTTGGAAAGTACTCACAAGTAGGATCGAAGCCAGTGATGAAATCAGGACATTGGGTAATCGCTGCTTTTCCTGCAGGAGTCGTCGACCAACAGGACCAGCCATCGAAAATTGCGGGACAATAAGGCTCTGTAAAGTAACATTTTTTTTAGTTCAATATATTTTTTTCTTTATTTTTCATATATTAATTTCGTTTTCTCTGTTTTCTCTATTTTTCTCTAATTCATACAATAGAAGAAAAATCATAAGTTTGGATGGAAGAATTTATTTAATTTATATTTAATTGGACATAAAAGCTGAATTACAGATAAAACTCATAATTATTTCCTTCATGTGCAAGAGAAAATTTAATTGAAATATTTTATTTTTCTTTCCAGCCAAGGAGATTTGTTTGAAGTTTTATTACGCTAGATTAATCCAGAAGAATGATGAAAAATAAATAATTCAATTACAATGGGAATTATTCCGAAATAAATAAAATTCCAAGGATTCTAAATAAACACGAAAGAAACAATTGTGACAGATTATTTTTTTTAATTAATTTTTTTGTAAACAGAAAAAAAGAGGTTAGAAAAATAATTTTTCAACTTTTTCTATTATTTGAATTTTCATAAAAAAAGGGGACATTACATTGACAATATTTTCTACATTTCTTATCAAAGAACAAAAAACTTCATGAATAGGGAACTTAATAATTCATTACAAAGTGGAGAATTCGAAAAGAAAAATTTCCCATCGTTACTTATAAAAATTAAAAAGTAATCTGAATATTTGGGATAATTTTTTTTATTACACGAAAAGCGTCTTCGGAAAACTTGAAAAAAACCTCTGATGGTGCTTTGAGAATATTGAAGGAAGTTAATTAACAAAAAGAAGAAGGGAGTAAAAAGAACTGACCTAAAATTCTTATGTTAATATTATGCTAAATTAATCCTTATCAATTTAAAAGAGAGAAAAAAAATGACTTTGCAAAAAAAAATTTACATTTTTTAAAGACATTTTTTTGCGTAGCTAAAATATAATTTACTCTTTCAGTTTGAATCTGAATTTCAAACAGAAAAATTAATTTTCCTCAAAAAATTTCAAACTCAAGTTTAAATTAATTAAATCCAGTGTATTAATTTTTTTTTTTGCTTCATTTTCAGTTAATAAAAAAAACCTGTTATTACACTTGATTACTGAAACAATATGTGTGAGAGAAGAGAACGTGAGGAAGAAATTAAATTACATCTCTAAATTTGCAGACAACGAAAAAATGCGACATTTTAATTTATTTTTTTTATTCTCTCTATTTAACATTGCAATTAATGTGAGTAACACATACAGAATTCTCGGCGTTTTTCCATTTGGTTCGCGAAGTCACAATAATGTCTTTGAAAGTATAACAAAAGCTCTCGCACGTCACGGTCATCAGGTGGACGTTATTTCGCATTACGATTTAAAAACACCAATTAAAAATTACACGAGAATTATCAGTTTAGAAGGAATATTTAAGAAAATATCAAATAGTTGGGACGCAAATCAAGCGAAACAAGTGGCGAATACAGAAATTGTTGATTTAATTGTCAGAGATTGTGGCAATAAATTATGCGATTTACTCGGATTGAAGGGAATTGAGAAATTTCTCAAAAATCTACCCAATGATCCAGCTTATGATTTAGTTATAACAGAGGTAATTTTTTTTTAATTATTAATTATTTTTGTTTAAAAAAAAATTAATTTTGTCGAAAAAAAATAAAATTTTTATTTTTATTAAATAAATTTTGAAATAAGGAATTTAATTTTTCAGGCGGCCGCAGAGAATTGTTTCTTCGGTTTGGGCTTTGCGCTGAAAGTTCCAGTGGTGGGAATTTCGACTCTTTTACAATTTTCATGGTTCGACGAGAGTATTGGAAATCCAATTGCGCCAGGATTGGCAGTAAGTCTCTATATGGAAAATGCCGAAATTTCAACATTTTGGGATCGTTTGAGGAATACCTTCTTGACGCAATTTGCAAGATTGAAATTTTATCAACTCACGGAGAAATATCAAACTGAAGCAATGCGAAAACATTTGACTCCCGAAATTCCGAATATACGTGAAATCGAGAGAAATGTTTCGCTAATATTTGTCAATACTTATCAAAGTTTATTTGGCATACGACCAAATACACCGGCACTAATTCCAATTGGTGGCATACAAGTTGAACAAAACGACGAAAAAATTTCCTCAGTGAGTTTTTTTTCTATTTATTATTAATTTAAAAAAAAAAATTTTAGAAAGAGGAAAAATACTTGCGATAAAAAATTTTTTTATCATCACTATTTTTTTATTTTAATCGAAACAATTTTTTGGATAAAGAAAAAAATTCTAACGATTAATTTCTGTCGTGAGTTTTTTTTTAGTTTTAATTTTAATCTAAAATATATTTTTTTTAAAGAAAAAATACTAGCGATGAACAAACTTCTGTCGTGAGTTTCTTTTAATTTTAGTTTTAATAAAAAATATTTTTTTGGTAAAGAAAAAAACTCTAACGATGAACGAATTTCAATCGTGAGTTTCTCTTTTTCTTTGAGAAGAAAGAATTTTTTTGTATTAAAATAAAAAAAAATTCTTTTTATAAAAAAAATTAATTAGAATTTTGAGAATTAATTTTTTTGTTAACGAGGATTAATTTCTTTTTGTTGTTTTTTAGGAATTAAAGAATTGGATGGACGAAAGCAAAGAAGGCGTTGTTTTCTTCACGTTGGGATCGATGGTAATTGTGGAAAGTCTAATGAAGGATAAAATATTTTCGCTTTACGCTTCGTTCGCTAAAATTTCACCTGTTCGAGTTTTGATGAAGATTAAGGATCGAAGTAAACTTCCTCCAGGCTTACCGGACAATGTTCTGCCCATGCCATGGATTCCTCAGATTCCAGTTTTGCGTAATATTACTAATTCATTATTATTTATTATTTGAAAAAAATTTTAATAAAATTCTTCATAAAGAATTCAATTACTATTTTCATAAAAAATAAAATTCTTATCAGGAATTCAATTATTTTCAAAAATTTTTGATAAATTTCTTTATAATAATTCAATTATTTTCATAAATAATTTAATTCTATGCAGAAATTCAATTATTTTCATAAATAATAATATTATTATCAAAAATTCAATTATATACATAAATAATAAAATTCTTATCAGAAATTCAATTATTTTCAAATTTTTCAATAAATTTTTCTATAATAATTAAATTATTTTCATAAATAATAAAATTCTTATCAGAAATTCAATTATTTTCAAAATTTTTTATAAATTTCTCTATAATAATTCAATTATTTTCATAAATAATAAAATTCTTATCAGAAATTCAATAATTTTCAAATTTTTTTTATAAATTTCTTTATAATAATTCAATTATTTTCATAAATAATAAAATTCTATGCAGAAATTCAATAATTTTCAAATTTTTTTTATAAATTTCTTTATAATAATTCAATTATTTTCATAAATAATAAAATTCTCTATAATAATTCAATTATTTTTATAAATAATAAAATTCTTATCAGAAATTCAATTATTTTCAAAAATTTTGATAAATTTCTCAATGATAATTTAATTATTTTCATAAATAATAAAATTCTATGCAGAAATTCAATTATTGTCAAAACTTTTGATAAATTTCTCTATAATAATTTAATTATTTTCATAAATAATAAAATTCTCTATAATAATTCAATTATTTTTATAAATAATAAAATTCTTATCAGAAATTCAATTATTATCATAAATAATAAAATTCTTTTCAGAAATTCAATTATTTTCAAAATTTTTGATAAATTTTTCTATAATAATTAAATTATTTTCATAAATAATAAAATTCTATACAGAAATTCAATTATTTCCATAAATAATAAAATTCTTATCATAAATTCAATTACTTTCAAAATTTTTGATAAATTTTTAATAGTTTTTTTCAATTCATTGAAAATAATTATTTTTAATTTTTTATTAATGTAAATACAATAATTAAAAAATATTTCAGAAAAAGAAAAATTGTTTATTAAAAAAATTAGGAAACAAAAAAGCAAAGAAATAAAAACTAATTTCGAATTGCGATGATCCAGATGACGATGATTATTAATATAGATTAATATTACTGTTGATTTATTTATTAATATATTATAAATATTTATTAGAAAAAAATTGTTTTTGTAATTGTTTAAGGTCACAAGAATACTCGTATTTTTATAACTCACTGTGGACTAAATAGCATAAATGAAGCAATGTACTTTGGAGTACCAATGATTGGAATTCCATTATTTGGCGATCAAATGATGAATATTAATTTATTAATGTCAAAAAATTTGGCGGTGAAATTAAATTACGAACAGATGACCGAGAAGCATTTGGACGAGGCTTTAAATAAACTTCTTTACGATCCTAAATACGAGTGAGTTTATGTTACAAAAAATGTAAAAATTCTCCTTTCTAGAACATTTTCTTATTCCATAATTTACGATTTACAATTTTTCAAATTCGAAAATCTAGAAATTGATCATTTTTATTTTTTTTTCTAATAAAATAAAAACCAAGAAATCAATAATTTTTATTCCCCAAGAAAGTAAAAATCAAAAAGTCAACTATTCTTATTCCCTAAGAAAGTAAAAAAAAAACAAAGTCAATAATTTTTATTCTCTAAGAAAGTAAAAATTAATAAAACAATTTTTATTCCCTAATAAAATAAAAATCAAAAAATCAATCATTTTTATTCCCTAAAAAAGTAAAAATTAATAAAAAAATTTTTATTCCCGAATAAAACAAGAAATCATTTTTCTAATAAAATAATATTCATAATTAATACCTAATAATTTTCTAACAATTGCTATACAGAATTTAAAAATTATTTTTACAAAAAATGGTAATAATAACTTATTTTCATAAAAATTGTTTAACGTTCCTAGAAATATTTTTTGAAATATTTTATGTGAAAATATTTTTTAATATTTTATTTTGGTAATAAAAATAATTTTCATTGCAGGCAAGCGGCAAAACGTGCATCTCGTTTATTTCGAGATCGACAAATGAGTGCAACGGAGACGGCAATTTTTTGGATTGAATACATAATTAGAAATGGAGCCGATTCGTTAAAATCGCCAGCAATCGATTTGTACTGGCATCAATTGGAATTACTGGACGTTTACGGAATTTTAATTCTCGCTACTCTCGTAATAATTTACGTGTCATTTCTTATTCTAAAAATTTCTTTTCACATGCTAAAATATATATTCAGTTTGAGATTCCGTTTCCATAAGAAGAAGGATTAAAATTCTAAAAAATTGAGAGAGAGAGAGAGAGAAATTATTCAATCTATTTTAATATGCAGTACAAAATTTTAATCTATAAAATAATTTTTATTTTAAAAAGTAAAACAATTTTAATTTATAAAATTATTTTAATTTGCTGCAAAATAAATTTAATTTCCTACCAAACATTTTTAATTTTCTACAAAATAATTTTAATTCGATTCAAAATTTTAATATTCATATAAAATAATTTTAATTTGGTACAAGATAATTTGAATTTTCAGCAAAATAAATTTAATTTGCTACAAAATAATTTTAATTTGATACGAAATTTTAATTATTTTGTAGCAAATTAAATTTATTTTGATGCAAAATTTTAATTTGGTAGAATACTTTCTATTAATTACTATTTTAATTTTATGCAAAATTTGAATTTGGTACAAAATAATTTTAATTTGATATAAAATTTTTATTTGCTACAATATAATTTTAATTCGATTCAAAATTTTAATTTTCTACAAAATAATTTGAATTTGGTAGAAAATAATTTTAATTTGCTGCAAATTAAATTTATTTTGATTTTTGATGCAAAATTTGAATTGGGTAGAAAGTAATTTTAATTTAATGCAAAATTTGAATTTGGTAGAAAATAATTTGAATTTGGTAGGCAAAATAACTTTAATTTTCTGAATAATAAATTTAATTTGTTCAAAAATTTTAATTTTCTAAAAAATAATTTGAATTTTGTAGGTACAAAATAATTTGAATTTGTAACAAAATAAATTTAATTTGCTACAAAATAATTTCAATTCGATTCAAATTTTCAATTTCCTACAAAATAATTTAAATTTGGCTCAATATAATTTTAATTTGCAGCAAAATAAATTTAATTTGCTACAAAATAATTTTAATTTGAATTTGGTAGGAAATAATTTTAATTTGCTGCAAAATAAATTTAATTTGCTACAAAATAATAATTTTAATTTGATACGAATTTTTTATTTGCAACAAAATAATTTTAATTTGACGCAAAATTTGAATTTGGTAAAAAGTAATTTTAAATTAATGCAAAATTTGAATTTGATAGAAAACAATTTGAATTTGGTTCAAAATAATTTTAATTTTCTGCAAAATAAATCTTATTTGATACGAAATTTTAATTTGCTACAATATAATTTAAAACTGAAATAAAAAAAAATTGTAAATTTATCGACATACAACAAAAATTACAAAATTCTCTTCAAGAAATATTTTTTAACAATGAATAAGTGGATTATTTTTTTTTATTAGAAAAAACTTTTCTATCAGGAAATACGCAACTGAGCATGATAAATCAAAAATAAAATTGTTTATCATTTTCTAAACAATTTTTCATATTAAATAAGATTTTAAGCATCACTATTCAACATGATCGATAAGATAATGAATGCATACTGCAAAAGAATAAATTTAATAAGATGCGTCGTTTATAAGACTCTGCACTTCAGTTTAAAAATAGTAGTAGTCGGCTAAAGTTGTTATTTCCAAGTATATAAAAACAGTAAAGAAAGAAAAATGATTTCGTTTAATAATTCTTTCCATTGTCTATTATTTTTAATTTACTTAATGTTTGCAAAAAGTGATGGTTATAGAATACTGGTAATTGCTCCTTTAAATTCAAAAAGTCATAATAATATGATGGAAAGTGTTGGCAAAGCCCTGGCATTAAAAGGTCATCAAGTTGATATTATTACACATTTTAAATTGAAAAATCCCCCCAAAAATTTTACGACAATTATCAATTTGGATGGTACGTTGAAGGATATGGTGAATACATGGACTTTGGAAATGGTGGAACATTATCGGAATGTTGATATTGTTCCGACTGTGGTTAAAGATTTTGGCAGTAATTTATGTGAATTAATGGGACTCGAGGAAATGCAGAAATTCATCAAAAATCCACCGAAAGATCCTCCCTACGATTTAGTGATTACAGAGGTTCGTAAAAATTATTTCTCTCCTTTTTTCATTTCCTAAATGTTCCAAATGTTCAAATTAACTTTTTTTTCTATTTTTCTATGTTTATTTATTTTTATTTATTTTTCCATTTTTATTTTCTATTTTCGAAAATTTACCAAGGAAACGAAAAATAATTTTCCAAATAGAAATATTTATTCATATAAATAGAAACTAAAATTTTAAAAATTGGATTATTAAAAAAAATATTTTTTTTTCAGGCCTTGGGGGAAAATTGCTTCTTTGGATTCGGGCATATTTTGAAAGTTCCTGTGGTGATGGTGTCGTCATTGACGGAACTTTTGTGGTTTGATGACATACTCGGGAATCCAATGTCAAACGCTTATACAGTTAATATGGAGACGAAAAATTTTCGAATCGTCACATTTTGGGATCGAGTGGAGAATCATTTTTGGGCTCTTTATAATAATTATCGATTTTTTAAGTTTACTGAGGAACATCAAACGGAGCTAATGAGGAAATATTTGAGTCCCGATATACCGAATATTAGAGAAATTGAGAAACAGACGTCTCTACTTTTGATAAATGCATATCAAAGTTATTTTGGCATAAGACCATTAACGCCGGCGATGATTCAAATTGCTGGCATTCAAATTGAACTCAGCGAGACGAAAATTACACCGGTATGTTTAATATTTTTAATATTTAGTATTTAATAATTATTAATTATAATATTTAATAATAAATAATAAATATTTAATATCTAATATTTAATATTTATTATTAATAAGTTTAATATTTTTTCTTTGAATTGAAAATTCTTTTCTTTGACAATTTTTTCTAGAACGTCTTTCTAGAATTAGAAATTAAAATGTTCCCAGCTTGGCAGCGGTTTTTATTTTTTAATCATATACCTATTGATCATCATTACAAAAAAATTTGAATATTGTTTAAAAAAATGAAAAATTAGAAAATATGTTTTAGAAAAACTGTACCTTAACCAATTGACTAATTGAAAATTTCGTCGGGCGATATTAAACTGACAATTAAAATAAGAATGAAAATCATAAAAGAATTAATTTGTATATTAAAAAAACTAATTTTTTATATTGTAAAAATTAATTTTGAACTTAGTAAAAATGTTTAATTTGCTAATACAAAAATAAATTTTCCATTTTATTTAGTAAACTTTTTTTATTTTATTTATTTATATTTTCTTTATTTATTATTCTTTATTCAAAAATATTTAAACAGAATGGTAAATTTTTCCCTTAATTGTAATTACATAAACAAAAAATAAATTTTATTTGTTTGAAAATTCAGAACTTTAGGAACGAAAATTCGAATTCAGTTCAAAATTAAAAAATTAAAAAACTAAAATACGGAAATATTTTTTCAAAATTAGGAACTAAAGACCTGGATGGACGAAAGTAAAGACGGAGTAGTTTTCTTCACTCTTGGATCGATGGTGATTATTGAGGATTTTCCAAAAGAAATTCTACAAAGTTTATATGCATCTTTTACCAAATTGGCGCCAATAAGGGTCCTCATGAAAATAGTGAATAAAGAAAAACTACCACCGGGTCTGCCGAAAAATGTCCTGACAATGTCGTGGATTCCACAAATACCAGTATTAAGTGAGATGAAAATTTTTATTTATTTTTATCGATAAATTAATTTTTAAAAAAATTGTCTTTTTTCATATCCTCATAGAGGAAGAATTGTATTTATTATTTTTAATGATATACAAGTTTTTTATAGTTCAAATGAACAACATATTTTAATTGCAAATATTTTTCATAAATTACTAAGTGGAATAAAAATTCAAAACTATTTTTTTATTCAGAAAGAATAATTAATTTTTTTGACACGTGACGCAAAATTATTCAAAATAAAAATTCAATTTGAAGAAAAAATAAATAAATTTTGATCATTTTCAAATTTAGAGTTTAAAAAAAGGTTTAGAACTTTAGAAAATTTGTATTTCATTTTTTTAAATTTGCATAATATTTATTTTCTTCTTCTTTTTAGAGCATAAAAATACGAAAATATTTATGACTCACGGCGGATTAAATAGCGCTCAAGAAGGTCTGTATTTTGCTGTTCCCATGATTGGTTTTCCATTATTTGGTGATCAGCCGTTAAATATTCGACTCCTGGCTGACAAAAATGTGGCTTATGAAATAGACTACAAGGATATTACGGAAAAATCGCTGACTAAAGCTCTGAATGCTGTTCTCTACGATCCCAAGTATCGGTAAGTTTCAAATTTTTAAATGATAATTTTAAATTTAGAAAATATTCTATATTAAAATTATTTTGTGAGGCAAAGAAAAAAATTGTAAAATCGAATTTAATTTGTAAAATAGTATTTAAATTTTAAAATTCAATCTAATTTGTAAAATAGTATTTAATTTTTAAAATTGAATTTAATTTGTAAAATAGTATTTAATTTTTAATATTGAATTTAGTTTGCAAAATAGTATTTAATATTTAAAATTTAATTTGTAAAATAGTATTCAGGGCTCGATTTAGGTCCGTAAATCCCGTAAAAGTCCGTAAATTTGCTTGAAGTCCGTAAAAGTCCGTTTTTTTGAAAAAAGGTCCGTAAAGTCCGTAATTTTATTAAGAAAAGGACGAAAAATTCGTGAATTGTTCGATACAATTTGGAGAATTTTAGAGAAATTACAAATGATTGCAGAAATTCAATTATTTTCAAAAGTAATAAAATTCTTAGTAGACATTCAATTATGTTCAAAAATTTTTAAAAATTCTCGTTAAAATTTCAATTATCTTTAGAAATAATAAAATTCTTCTCCAAAATTCAATTATTTTGAAAAATTGTAATAAAATTCTTGTCAAAATTTCAATTATTTTCAAAAATTTTCCTCAATTCAATGATTTTCAATATCTACTAGTTTAATAAAGTTTTACAAAAGAATTCAATTATTTCAAAAAAATTTTAATAATATTCTACGCAAACCTTTAATTATTTTCATATAATAATAAAAATTTCACAGGAATTCAATTATTTACAATTTTTTTCGCAATCATTCAATTATTTTCATAAATAATAAAATGTTTACACGGATTCAATTATTTTCGTAAATAATAAAATTCGTTTTAGAAATTCAATTTTTTCATTAATAATAAAACTCATTGCAAAATTTCAATTATTTTTAATGCAATTTTAATCGAATTCGTCGAAAAATGTAATTATTCTTAAAAATTTTATTAAAATTCCTCAAAAGTATTCAATTATTTAAAAATTTATTGATAAAATTCTTTATGAGAATTCAATTTTAAGAAATAAGCAATTATTCAATAAATTGTTTTTTTTGTATGTAAATAATTGAATTCTAGTAGAATTTTCTAATAAAAATTGATTTAAAAATGGATTTCAGTTAAAATTTTCGATTATAATATTTATAATTGAATATTAAAAGCATCAGAGTGTGAATTTTTAGAAATAATTGAATTTTGAAAAGGTTTCAAATAAAAATCTTTGAAAATCTGAATTTTTCATATTTTTAACTGTGGAATTAATTTTTTTGAGAAATTTTAATTGTGGATTTCTTTTAAAATTATTTCAAGTTTTTATTTTCTAATATATACATATTTAATTGAATACTTTATGAATAATTGAAATTTTGTAAAATTAAATTTTGTAAAATTAAATTTTATACAAATGAATTTAAAAATTGTCAAAGAACTTTTTAAAAAATTATTTAAACTAATGCTTATAGAGAAGAATTTTAGTTAAAAACACGAAAAAAAGTTTAATTTTGGAAAAGCAACAATTTATTGCAGAAATTCAATTATTTTCAAGAGTAATAATATTCTTCGCAAAAATTCAATATTGTTCAAAAATAATAAAATTCTTTTTCTCAATTCGTTGAGAGAATTCAATTATTTAAAAATTTCTTGATAAAATTCTTTGTGGGAATTGAATTTTAAGAAACATTCAATTATTCAATAAATTATTTATTTTTATATTTAAATAATTTAAATTGTAGTAGAATTTTCTAATAAGAATTGATTTAAAAATGAATTTTAGTTAAAATTTTAGATAATAATTGAATAGTAAAAGCAATATAGCGTGAATATTTAGAAATAATTGAATTTTGATATTAATTTTTTTGATAAAGTTTAATTTAATTTTTTGGTATTATTTTAAGTTTTTATTTTCTAATATATATTTAATTGAAGAATTTACGAATAATTAAAATTTCGTAAAATTGAATGTTGTAAAGCAAATGTTGTATTTGAAAATTTTTGAAAATAATAATTGAATTGATAATGATTTTATCACTCGGTCATGAATTATTATAAAACATGAAGAAACGATCACTCCGAGTCGAAGACTCGGATATCTTCATGTTTTATAGTTATGAAAAATTTAATTTGTAGTTTTAAGTAAAATTATTTGATATAATTTTTAAAATTTAATTTACTTTGTCAAATAGTATTTAATTTTTGAAATTGAGTTTAATTTTTAAAATAGTACAGTCAACTCTCGATAAGACAAAGCGCGATAACTCAAATTTTTCGGTAAGTCAAAGTAATTCTTGGCTCTCGTTCATTCCTTATAAGCATTATTAACATTTGATAACTCAAACTTTTCGATAACTCAAAGTTGTTTCGGTCTCCCTTCAAGCTTTTCTTATCGAGAGTTGACTGTATTTATTTTTTAAAATTGAATGTAATTTGTAAAATAGTATTTAATTTTTAAAATTTAATTTAATTTGTAAAATAGTATTTAATTTTGTAATTGTAGAATTGCATTTAATTTGCAAAATTTTATTCAATTTCTAAAATTGCATTGAATCTGCAAAATTGCATTTAATTTCTAAAATTGCATCCGATTTCTAAAAATTTCTAATTTTCGAAAATGACTATTTTAGAAACGCTGCAAAACGTGAATCTCAACTATTTCGCGATCGACCAATGACTGCAACAGAAACAACAGTTTTTTGGGTAGAGTACATAATCAGAAATGGAGCAAATTCTCTACGATCGCCATCGATGGACATGCCCTGGTGGAAAGCTGAACTCGTCGACGTCTATCTATTTTTCTTCACATCTCTTCTTTTAATAAGCTACACCGCTTTTTTCATTCTAAAAAAAATAATTTGCCTATTCAACAAAAGTTTAAATTCCAATTCGTCGAAACATAAGAAAAGGGATTAATTCTTTTCATTTTAATTTCACGAACAAAAATTACATTTCATTTTATAATTCGTACGATATGTATGTAAATAGTTTAGTTATTCGAAAATTTGTTTCATATAATTATAATTTATAAATTTTTAATATTTAAATATTAAAAATTTTTAAACGATATTTAAAAATTTGTTTTTTATAATAATTATAATAATAGATAAATTTTCACGTTTGCCGGCTGAGTTTAAATATTTAAGCTTGTATCAGTGACCGCCTCTTGACGTGGCTCTGTTTTTCTTTCACAAATATTAACTCTCAGTCTGCACGTGCGAATATAACGAATTACTTTGATCAACATAGAATTTTATCTGTCAGATTACTTCAACTAGTTATTCTTTTGATTTATCCGAATCTGCAAAAATATTTTTTTCTTTTATTTTCTACTTTTTCGTTTTGCAAAAAAAAAAAAAATATGTCGCGAGTGAATTTAACATTAAAAACAAATATTTATAAAAAAACCTTTACTTCCGTAAACAGTGAAATTTGCTGACCTTGAATTATTTTTTGCGATATTGTACAAAGATAAGATAAATTACTATTTAGAAAAAAATTCATATGCAATTTGTCATAAGTGTAAAAAATAGCAATAAATTTAAGTGATTTTGCAAAAAAAAAAGAAAAATGTCTTCAATTGATAAATTCTGTAAATTCTATTATTTTCTATTTTTGCTATATTTTGTAAATTTTAATGAAGCTTATAGAATTCTAGTTATTTCGCCTTTTATTTCAAAAAGTCACAATAGCATGCTCGAAAGTGTTGCAAAAGCTTTGGCAATAAAAGGCCATCAAGTCGACGTTATTTCTCACTATAAATTGGAAAATCCGCCGAAAAATTATAAGACAATTATTAATTTAGATGGTTCGATGCCAAAAAATGTAAATACTTTGAAATTTGATACAGTTGATTTTTACAGATCAGTTGATCTTGTTCCAATAGTTGTCAGTGATAATGGAAATAATTTTTGCGACTTAATGGCATTGGAGGAAATGCAAAAATTGATTCAAAATCCGCCGAATGATCCTCCGTACGATTTGGTCATTACAGAGGTTTGTCAATTATTACTGTTCACCTCAAACAATTTCGAGTCACTTTAATACCAAATTAATTAAATTTTAAATTAAAAAAAAAAGTAATTAAATAAATTACTGAATAAATTATTAAAACTACAGACTTTGGCAGCAATTTAAAATTTGGCAAAAACTAAATTTTAATTTTTAAACATGTAATTAAATAAATTACTGAATAAACTATTGAAACTACAGGCTTTGGCAGCAAATTGTTACATTGGATTCGGACATGTTCTAAAAGTACCAGTAATTTTGGTCTCTGCTTTAATAGAATTTCCATGGTTCAATGAAATACTTGGAAATCCAATGTCAAATGCCTATGCAATTAACTGGGAGACGAAGAATTTTCGTGTGAAAACATTTTGGGAGCGAGTGAAAAATCACTTTTGGGCTCATTATCATAATTATCGTTTCTTCAAATATTCTGAAGCATATCAAACGGCAGCGATGAGAAAATATTTGGATCCGGATATACCAAGTATTCGGGAAATTGAGAAAAAAGCATCTTTGCTTTTGGTTAATGCTCATTATTCGGTTTATGGTGTAAGACCTTTTGTTCCCTCAATTGTTCAAATTGGTGGACTTCAAATTGAACTAAATGATGCAATAATGACATCTGTAAGTAGGTAGCATTTTGTTTTTATCAAAACTATTGCGAATTTTAACAAAATTTTAAATTAATTAAATTAATTTTAATTTAATTTTTAATTAATTAATATAATTAATTTTTTTATTTTTACAAAATTCTTCGTGGAATTCAATTAAAATTGTATTGAAAATAATTAAACTATTTCATAGAATTTTATTGGAATTTTTGAAAATAATTCAATTCTTTCAAAGAATTTTATTGGAATTTTTGAAAATAATTCAATTCTTTCAAAGAATTTTATTGGAATTTTTAAAAATAATTCAATTCTCGCTAGCAATTTTTAAATTATATTAAATGTAATTGAATTATTTCGTAGAATTTTATTTAAATTTTCAAAAGTAATAGAATTTTTTTAGAGTAATCGCATTAGAATAAAAATAATTGAACTCTTGAATAGAATTCTATTAAAAATGTATTTAAAATAATTGAAATATTTTGTAGAATTTCATTAAAATTGCATTAAATATTAGTTACAATCTAAAAAAAATTGTAATAAAATTCGTTGAAAAGATTTAATTATTTTCAAGAATTTTTCAAAATAGTTTAATAACATTAAATTTATCAAAAGAATTTAATTATTTAAAAAAAAAATTTCACGCAATTGTTCGCAAACATTAAACTATTCTTATAAATAATACAATTTTCAATTAAAATACAATTTGCATAAAATTTTTCGAAAAAATCAATTATTTAAAAGAAATGTTTGACAAATTCTTTATAACGAATTCAATTATTTTCATAAATATTAAAATTTTTCACCAGAATTCAATTATTTAAAAAAAATTAAATAAAATTCTTTACTTTACTTTACTTTTTCTTCCTTTATTCAATTATTTTTTAAAAGAATAATAAAATTCTTTACAGGATTTCAATTCTTTTTAATATAATTGTAAATGACTTGCTCGAAAAATACAATTATTCTTAAAAATTTTATTAAAATTATTGGAAAGAATTCAATTATTATAAAAAATGTAAAAATTCTTTATAAGAATTCAATTTTAAGAAATATTCAATTATTTAATAAATCAATTTTTTGTATTTAAATAATTTTTATTTCACAAAATTATAAATTTATTATTTTCTTAAAAATGGCGAGTTTCGAATAATTTTATTTTAAAATTTTGACCAAAAAAATTATTGAATTTTGGAAGAATTACAGTTGTTATTTTTAGAAGTAGTTAAATTTAAATTATATTGAATGTAATTGACTTATTTCGTAGAATTTTATTAAGATTTTTAATAATAATAAAATGAATTCTTTTGGGAAATTCAATAAAAATATTATTGAAAGTAATTGAATTATTTCGTAGATTTTATTAAAATTGCGAAAAATAATCGAATTCCTTTGAGAAATTCAATTAAAATTGAATTAAAAGTAATAATTCAATTATTTCGTAGATTTCTATTAAATAAAAATAAATAAATTCTTTCTAGGAATTCAATTATAATTTTAAAAATAATTGAATTTTTTGTAGAATATCATTAAAATTTGCTTTAAAAATATTGAAATTGCTACAAAAAAATTTATTATTTATTAAAATAATTGAATTTTTTGTAGAGTTTCATTAAAATCGTATTATAAATATTAATTCAAATTCTGCCAAGAGTTCAGTTATTTATGAAAATAATTGAATTTTTAAGACGAATTTAATTACAATTGCATAGAATTATATCAAAAATTTTAAAAATAATTAAATACTGTTTCCAAGAATTTTATTGAATAATTTTATGAAAATTTTTTGCAATTAATTAATTTTTGAATAATTGAATTTTCTTAAATTTTGAGTCTGCAATATTATTGAAAAACAGTCCAGATTAAAAAAAAAATTTTTTTTAATTATCATAATATTAATAATAATAATTTTTAATTTTGCAAGAATTATTTACGAAACAATTGTCAATTTATTTTTAAATAATAATAATAATAATAATTTCTTTAAAGGAATTGAAGACCTGGATGGATGAAAGTGTTCACGGAGTTGTATTCTTTACCTTAGGTTCAATGGTTCTTATTGAAGAGTTTCCCAAAGATGTTATAGCAGCAGTCTACGCAAGTTTTGCCAAATTGGCACCAATTCGAGTACTTGTAAAAATTGTCCATAGGGAAAAACTTCCTCCAGGTCTGCCAAAAAATGTCCTGACAATGCCCTGGATTCCACAAGTTCCAGTTTTACGTAAGCTAAATTCTATTTTCGATAAAATAAATTTTTTCCCCTTTTTTCAATATTGTTTTCAAATTTTCTTTCTTCTTCTTTTAGGTAACAATAAAGTTTTTCTGACTAATTAATATTTATATAAGGAAAAAAAATAGTTAATTACAAAAATGTTGTTCCCTTTTCTTTCAAGTATTTATAGTTAATAAAAAATATATGATATAATTTTGGTGATTTTTTTAGGTCACAATAATACAAAAGTATTCATGACACATGGAGGGTTAAATAGTGTCCATGAGGCTCTATATTACGGAGTTCCTATGATTGGTTTTCCTCTTTTTGGCGATCAACCTCTAAACATTCGACTTTTGCGAGAAAAAAATGTAGTCTATGAAATGGATTATAAAGAAATTAATGAAAAATCTTTAGATGGAGCATTAAAAGCAGTTCTTTATGATCCTAAGTATCGGTGAGTTTCTATTAACTTCTGTTAAAAACGAATCGAGAATAATTTAAACCCCTGTGAAAATTATTATCATCTCGTCTTATCCTATTTTGATTAATTTCATTTACTGCTCCTAAATAAATATTTTTCTGTGTGTTCAATTTTTTATTTCGTACATAAAAAAAATTTCTTTTAAATTACAGAGATGCTACAAAGCGGGTATCTCATCTATTTCGCGATCGACCAATGAGTCCAACAGAAACAACAGTTTTTTGGGTCGAGTACATCATCAGAAATGGAGCAAATTCTCTTCGATCACCATCAATGGATATGCCTTGGTGGAAAGCTGAACTGGTCGACGTCTATCTATTTTTCTTCACATCACTTATTTTAATAGTCGCCAGTACTTTATTTATTTCATTAAAAATAATTTGCCTATTAAAAAAAATTTTTAATTGCAATTCTTTTAAAAAACACAGGAAAGATGATTAATTTTTGTTTATGTATATTTCTCGTTACGAACAAACCGAATGGAACAAGTTTTTTATTTAAATAATTTATTTAATTAAAAATTTCTTAAAGAAAATTAAATTATTATTTCGAATTTATTATTCAGTTGTTTCTGTTTCTTTTTTTCTTCTGGTGAGCTTGTTCCTTATAAAAAGAGTAACATTTTATACATATATATTTGTGATTAAAATGTCTACGAACGAGGATATTATGCAAGTTCTTCGAGTGATTCAGGAAGACGTGAAGGTAACAAAGTCAACTCTTATCTCAGTGGCAGAGGAAAATAAGGAGTTGAAAAAAGTAACGGACAAGATTGCAACGGATTTGGAAATATATAAAAAGAAGTGTCGTGATCTTGAACTGAAAAACATTAGTTTAGAGAAAAATGTGCAACTTTGTTTAAAAAAAATAGATTTGGTTCTTAACAAAGAGATACAACAATTAGTTGGTATCGCAATCTTTAATTTTGTTTTTCTTGAAATGAGGTTTTTGGCGTTTTAAGCTTTGAAATTCCGTAAGTCAGCGAATTTTTAACCAAAAAAGTTCTCATACCACTCAAAATTTTCTAAATTTTTCAATAATAAATTTAATAAATTAAAATTATTATTAAAATTTTATTATAGTAAGTAAATTTTATTTAATTACCATAAATTCCTTTTATGTTGTGCAAAATGTCTTTCGTAACAATCAGCTTTAAATAACAAGCAAAGCGTTTCCACATCTTGTCATCCAATTGAATGTATTTATTTCATAATGTTTTGACATTTAAATTTGTAGTATTTTTATCGACATCAATTTTCTCAAATTTAGAACTGTATCTTTTGAAAAATTTTTGGTTACAAGTTGTTGAATAAGAAACACATAAACTTTTACATTTACATTGTGGAAATATATTAAAAGAATTTTTCTCATTGTCAATGAGTTTTTGTTTAATTTAGTGCAAAATTAATAAAAATTTCCAATAATTTTTTTGACGTTACTGAAATCTAAATCATTTTCTCTTCCTTCCATTAATTTGCGAGAAAAAGGTAAATGAATTGGTTGTGAATTTTTTTCATATAAATCTGCCTTCTTTTGCTTTCTTAAATTTTTATTTTTATTTATTTATTTATTAAAAATATACGATCCTTGGGCTAAGAAGCCCGCAAAGGAAAAGTTTGCATTTTACAAATTTCTGTATATGCAAAGGAGTTTAAAAAAAGAAGTAAAGTAAAACAATATAAAATTTATAAACATTAAATCTTGAATCTACGTTATTTAAAATTTTAAATTGAAGAAACTCTTCATTCTACGTTTTAAATTTGCAGTAATTGAAATTTTGAAATTCGTTGCCAGTTCACGAATGCGTTCTTCAATTATTGCGAATTTCAAATAAGCATCATTTTTTTTAAATCCAATTTTACATGAAAATTCATTAAAAATCTTGTTGACTACATCTTTCGGGAAATCTTTTAATATCCACTTACCACCATAAAGTGGGAGGGAAAAACTCCTTAATTTAATTGGATTTGATCTGCTTAAAATGTATGCAATGACTTGTTGATTTTGCAATAACATTTCCATGAATAAAGATCCCGACTTGCAATGCTCTCACATCTTGGTTCCATTTTTTTCTGCAGATCAAACTAGGCAGATATTCTTTAATCCATCTACTCCAAAACATCTGCCAGACGCTGGGCTATTTTCCACTGTTTTTTTAACAGTAAATCATCGTTAGTAAATAGTCCTGGCCTGGGATCCACTGATGATGATCCGATTAAGAAATGATTCGGTGTTATACATTCCTCATCCATGTGATTGACTGAAACGTGTGTGAATGGGCGACTATTAACTATGTGTTCCACTTCTGTTAATAATGTCATTATCGTTTCTTCTTTTGGAAATCTCTCATCGAGGATAGTTTTTAATGCAGTCTCTGCGCTCCACTCAAGGCGCTCCCATGTGTGGTGTATTTGGCGGTATAAAATTTATCACTTTATCCCAAGATTCACCATCTCTGTGGTGATAACATCAAAATTAACTTCCGCAATTCTTTTTAGCTCGCTATTATCCCCCACAAAATTGGTTCCGTTGTCGGAGTATATTTCCGAGGGCGTTCCACGTCTGGCAATCATTTCCATCTTTAATATTCCGTTTATTTTTTGTAGTAACTCCTAATGCTTCTATATCATAACTTCGTTTAATTATTGAAGTTAACTCTCTGTCTCTTTCTTCTTGATCATTATCACAAGTCTTCGATTTTATTGTCATAGTGGCGTTCATTTTTCTTTTAATTTTTGCGCACATATTACCGAAATTTGGATTTTTATTTCCGATCGCGATAAAAACATTGTTTGCATTTCATATCATGATTTTATTAATGTAATTGCTAAAAAAAAGTTTCTCGATTTATTCTAGATGATTTTTTACATTTAAAATACCTTTTTTTTAAATTTTCTTTTTTTACGTCAAGCAATATTTTTTTGTATTTTAAAAATGCTTCTACTTTTAAATTATTATCTATTAGTTTTGTGATTCCTAATTCTTTTCTTAAATTTCCCTGCAATTTTACTTCACTACTGTTAAATTTATTCAAAAATTTTAAATTTTTGGTGATTCTTGACAACTTGTCGTACTCTTTGTTTTTCAACTTGACAATTTCATGTTCATTTTGATTTGTATTCATGATGCTTGCAGTAATAGGATATTTAATACCTAAATCAATTCTTATTATCTTTTCAAATTTTGTATACCAATACGGAGTTTTGCACATTTCGTTTTTCTGAAAATTTCCTTTAACAAAGAATAAAAGCGTTAGACGATTTTATTTTTTAACAACATTTGGCTTTTTTGTTTCTCTTTTCCCATTCTGTTATTTCCGCTGCATTTTCGGGTATATCTTCGGGTTTTGTGGTTATACCGCTGACGTATTCCCAGTGGTCATTTGAATTGGTGATTTAACGATGATTTACTGTTAAAAAACAGTGGAAAATAGCCCAGCGTCTGGCAGATATGTTTTGGAGTATATGGATTAAAGAATATCTGCCTAACTTGATCTGCAGAAAAAAATGGAACCAAGATGTGAGAGCATTGCAAGTGAGGGATAACATAACATTTCCATTTTAATAACATTTCCATGAATATAGTGAAAATGTTATTGCAAAATCAACAAGTCATTGCATACATTTTAAGCAGATCAAATCCAATTAAATTAAGGAGTTTTTCCTTCCCACTTTATGGTGGTAAGTGGATATTAAAAGATTTCCCGAAAGATGTAGTCAACAAGATTTTTAATGAATTTTCATGTAAAATTGGATTTAAAAAAAAATGACGCTTATTTGAAATTCGCAATAATTAAAGAACGCATTCGTGAACTGGCAACGAATTTCAAAATTTCAATTACTGCAAATTTAAAACGTAGAATGAAGAGTTTCTTCCATTTAAAATTACCAAATAACGTAGATTCAAGATTTACAGTTTATAAATTTTATATTGTTTTATTTTACTTCTTTTTTTAAACTCCTTTGCATATACAGAAATTTGTAAAATGCAAATTTTCCTTTGCGGGCTTCTTAGTCCAAGGATCGTATATTTTTAATAAATAAATAAATAAAAATAAAAATTTAAGAAAGCAAAAGAAGGTTACATTACAGATTTATATGAAAAAAATTCACAACCAATTCATTTACCTTTTTCTCGCAAATTAATAGAAGGGAGTGCAAATGATTTAGATTTCAGTAACGTCAAAAAAATTATTGGAAATTTTTATTAATTTTGCAGTAAATAAAACAAAAACTCATTGACAATGAGAAAAATTCTTTTAATATATTTCCACAATGTAAATGTAAAAGTTTATGTGTTTCTTATTCAACAACTTGTATCCAAGAATTTTTTAAAAGATACAGTTCTAAATTTGAGAAAATTGATGTCGATAAAAATACTACAAATTTAAATGTCAAAACATTCTGAAATAAATACATTCAATTGGATGACAAGATGTGGAAACGCTTTGCTTGTTAGGGGCCGTCCATAAATTACGTAACACGTTTTTAGTGAAATTTTGAACCCCCCCTCCCCCTATGTAACAAGTTGTAACAAAATCATTTTACCCCCCCCCCTATCATTGTTACGTAATTTTTTAAAATATTTTTTTTACTAACGTTTTTCGAAACAAATTTGTTTATTACTGTTATTTTTAGTATTTATATCGTACAATAGCAATACAAAATTAAGTTACATATAAAAAACATTTAGAGGAATAATTTTATTAATCATACTGTGCAACCAAAAATATAACATTGATTTTTTAACAATAATTTATATTATTTATGATCAATAATACTGTTATAGCTTTAAATATATAAATTTCTTCTCTTAAATAATTAATATATGTAATTCTTTATCACAGCGAACAATTAGAATTATATTAATAATTATTTTTAAATATGATATTATAGTTTGAATTATAATCATAATAATACTGGCAATGATTTAACTTTAAAGCTATAATCTTCTCTCTTAAATTAATAACGCATGTTGTCTTCAATTGTATAATCACAATCTTCGATAAATGGGTTTTGCAACCAATTTTCAAATGAGGTAACAACTGGAATAGGTAATTCTTTGCTTGTTTGTGACGACTCGGTTTCATTATTTATGAATTGTTCATCGATATCTTCGATGTCAATCCATTCTGCTTCTTCGCCCGAAATATGTGTTACATAACAAAGTGCTTCACGAGCACGTCGAGCAACTACACATAGTGGTCGTATTCTAGAAGTTTCAAGTACTCCGTAAGGGTGCAAAGATTTTTTGTGTTTTTGAGCACTTTTCTTTGTAGCTGTGTAAAATCCACAATATTTACACGTTCTATTGAGAAGATCAGATTGCACAGAAGGACAATACATATCGTACGGCATAATCAGAAATCCATCGTGATTTGGCTTTAGATCTAGCGAATGTCGTTGTAAAAGACTAGCAAATGTGGTTAATATTCCCTCATTAGGTGATGGAATCCGAAGTCCTGATTGATCTCGAAGTAAAGGAATCGGCGGCGGAAGTCGTCCAAAGATTAATACTTTCTTCAAGTCGCTTCGAAGAGGTTGGCAGCAGCTAACATTATCACATTTAATAATCTGCAAAAAGTCAATATTCTGCGTAAAAAATGATCTATTTTTTAATGTATGCATCTATATATATTTATACATTACATACATGCAGGTAATATTTACCTGTAGAAAGTATTGACTTTCAAAAACATGTTTACAATACCATGTTGGACTTGGAACTTCAGGTGATTCTAAATTTTCATTTAATGATGGAGAAATATATTCAGCGAACACTTCAAACCCATCTATTTTTGTGTTACTCCATATATCGCTCAAGATATTCCCAGCATGTTCAAAATTTTCTAGCTCGAGCTGAGAATCGATGGTTTCACCATTATCTCCCAAATGCTTTCCGAACTTGTCATGAGGCAAAATCACACCTGTTAGTTCTCTGCTTAAGGGAGCCATTCGCCGCTCAACTCTGTTGAAAGCGCTCCGGTTTGGCGCATTTGTGAAAATAAAAATACCATCCAAATCAAATTCCTTAAAATGATTGATTGCATGTGCTATCACTTTTTCATATCTACAAATATTTTGTAACAATTTAATAATTTAGAATTTAGAATAATAATAATAAATATAATAATTGTTAATACATAAACGTACCTTGGATTTTCATCCGGCCCACCATCTACTGATAATATTAGTACCGGTTTAATAGATCCATTACTATTCCGCATTATCGTATTGAAACTTTCGAGTTCTAATAATCTTTTCAGATCAAACGCATGGGTAGAGGCAGTTGATGAGTTGTGCTTTGCACTCCTTATTGCTATGTAAGTTGGTCCCGAGTAAGAGACGTTAGTTTTTTTTCCTATTGGCCCATCTTTAATGACAATCCCGGCGTAGACTGAAGGAATAAGTTTATGTCCACCTGCGACTACCCAATCGTGATCTGGGAGTTGTACTCTATATTCGAGGTGCATAATTATGGGAGCTTGCAATTTTGCTGCAGTTTTCCCCAGAGGTACACGAGCCTTATCGTCTTGGGATAGAAAAGCAACCTAAATTTATTTTAAATTATTTTTATTATTTTATAAAAATTAAAAGACTTTAAATTAATTCAAAGTTATTTATTAAAATTAAATCTTAAATTAAATTTAAAAATCATACCTCTTCAGGACTGAGCGTTGAAGCTAATGTTTCAATACAATTTATTGTGGCCTTGCAAAAATGTTGATCTACATGGCTTTTATGTAGATCAGTTTGTGGACGGGAAAGCTTAACCGGCACAGTTTGAATATGCTTTTTCCCTTCATTCGTAGCTGAATTTCTCGGCAATAAACGCAAATAAGTTGCACTTCTAGATATTGTTATTCCCTTTTCAAGAAGATGAGCCTGCAATTGACTAAGTGTTTTGCACGTTCTTATTGTTTCTGATCGACGACGAGAATCCGCAGAGCCACCATGTAACGCAATTTGCGTTATTGCATTTAAAAGTTCAGGTTGCTCTGTTTCTAGTCTGGGTCGTCCAGGTTCATCTCGAATTCCTAATAATTTTGCAATATTTTTATCATTCTTCTGAAGTTTATCAAGATTTTTTTTTCGTGTTTGTCTGAATTCTTTTTGTCTATCAGCGTTTCGTTTTAATTTATCCAATGTTTTATTTTCACATTCCAAAGTTTCACGTAACTTTTTTATTCTTTGTTCTGTTAAATTATCTCCAAGACCTGCATCTCGTCTAGTTACGGCAGAATTAAGTTCTGATTCTAGTACATGGATTTTTGAAATTTGAGCAGTTTGAGCTGGAGTGTCACGCTTGGGAGTAAGTGCAATAACTGCATGTTCTAAATCTTCTTCATCATTTGTAATGTCCAATACCTCTATTTTTCTTTTTTTACCTTTTGTAAATAAATTTGAAAATAAAATTTAAATAGATTTTAATCATTTTTGGTAATTAGTATTAATAGAATTATTAAACAGTATTTTAACATAAAGAATTTTTGCAAACTGTCAGAAATATTATATTTTCAACTAAGTTTCAAAATCTATTTATTTATAATGTTCAACAATAATTTAAAAGCTTAATTTTTAATTATTTTAATATTTAACGTTTAAAAAATTATATTGCAAAAAGGTTCCTAAAGTTGGAATTATTAACTATTTTTTTATTTTTAATGATAAAATTTTAACTATTTTCACTTCTTTTACTTTTTAGGAAGTAAAAAATTATTTAAGAGAATTTTTTAACCTTAAATCTTAGGAAAAATTGAGTGGTTTATTTTTTCAGATTTGTATAAAAAATATATATTTCGATGCTGAGCATCGATGGTAACTTTAGGAATCTTTACAAGAAAATAATATTACAAGGCAATTTAAATTGGATACCAAAGCAATAAACAAAGAAATCGTTATTCTTACTTGTCGACAAGTGTGATGCTTCGCTAATTTCTTCATCGTATAATTTACCGTCTTCACGTGAAATAGATTTTAAATGATCTGAAGATTCTGTTAAAATTGGTGACAAGCTTGATACGGTAAGGGACTCTACATTAGATGCCGATGAACTTGGTTGACTTTGATTTGCTAACGCTGAAGATTTAGATGTTTGCTACAACAAATATTCGAATAATAGTTAAATGCACATAAATAGTCAACGATTAATAATTCAGCTTGCATATTATAATTTAAAACAAAAATAATTTATTCTATTTAAACTATTAGAAGTTTCAAATCATTGACCGACACATTTTTATTGACAGTTTATAGGTTATGTTCGTAATGTATAAAAAAAACTTACCGTAGTAAAAAACTTTAAGATATTATTACATTTGTTCTTCTGTGACAAATTTAAATAATCTGATATTAATTCTTCGGCTTTTTTGACCAAATCGTCTTGTAACTTATATTTGTCTTTTAGGTCTTTCCAAATAATAACGACTTCTTCCTGTGCTTTACCAGCAGACTTGGTTGAATGCGATTTCTTATAAGCATCAAATAATCGCTGATAGATATTACCAATATCAGGTTTCATTTTGTAATTAAAGAAAAAATATGACACTAGTTTTTTAATTCATTACTAATCACTAACAAAACTAAAGAAGTACAAAATCATGACAGATGCGAACAGATGATTTTGAAACAGCTGAAATAGTATCGATATAATCGATTCCCAAGAATCGATTCGCGAAATGATTCGATTTTTACTTATATTGAAGTGGCGGCAAGGGACAGCTTTTCAAAAATTTATCGATTATAAAGAGATTAAATTCCTTATAAATATTACGTAACAATGATGATTGACCCCCCCCCTCCCATGTAACATATGATAACATTTTCTCGAACCCCCCCTCCCCCCTAAACGTGTTACGTAATTTATGGACGGCCCCTTATTTAAAGCTGATTGTTACGAAAGACATTTTGCACAACATAAAAGGAATTTATGGTAATTAAATAAAATTTACTTACTATAATAAAATTTTAATAATAATTTTAATTTATTCAATTTATTATTGTCACAACAAGAAAAACATTTTCTCTTCCGATTCAGGGAATCGTAAACACTTTGCCAATTGAGAAATTATATTTCGTCATCATTTATTTGTGTTGTTTAAAAAAACAATTAAACTTGTAAATATTTAAAATTATTGAACTTTACACAGTTTCAAAATGATTGACAATGAAAAAGATTGTAATTAAATTCGTAAAATTTTGGAATAAAACATTGTCATAACCAATAGGTTATGGGCCCAGGCCCTTGTACTGCAGTTGTAGTGAAGTGAATTAAAAAAGGTCGTCTGAAATCGAAACAAAACTACACTGAAAAAAATTTGGGTTTGCAGCTGCACCAGCTAGTGACGCAGCATTCCCAAAAAGAGTATATATGCTTACCTGTGTTTGGGTACGCTGCGTACCTACTGTGGGTGCACAGGTGACCCACAGTGATAGAAATGCAAGCCAGACTGGGGCAATAGTCTGTGGGGCATCTGCGTACCCCTTGTGGGTGCGCTGCGATCCCACAAAGCGAGTATCAGTGCTCTTACAAGTAATAACATAAAAATATTAAATAATTTGCAATGAAAAATATTAACAACTCAATATATAATTGTAAAAAGGTAAATTGTATTCATCGTATTATTTTGTTATAATAAAAGATAATGTTGAATTCAATCATTGAATACATTATTTTAAAAAGCTAAAATATTCTTTCAATTTATTTCTTCAATTGTTCCATTATTTTTTTTTAGATTAAAATATTCTTTATTTCTCCAAGTACATACAATAATTCTCAAAATACGCTAAAAACATATTTATTTAGGAAATAAACAATAACAGTATTATTTTGTTTAGAAAAAAAATTTCATTTCAAAAACATAACAAAAAATACATAAAAATTCTAAAATCTGTAAATTGTATTTTTAATGTAACAAAAAATTTGCAAAAAAAAAATTCAAAATTTATTGCTTTTCATTATTAATAATTTATTTTTTAAAATTAATAACAAGAAATATTAAAATAATTTTCTTTTTATAATTTAAAAAATAATAATATAAGATTTATAATCTTTTTATAATTTTTTTATACGGTTAAATTATATTTTCTCAGTATTAATCAATAAATCAATTCGATACAATATCGATAGATGGGCAAACTTGCAATTAACTTTACTTCATACCGCTAAAAGTTTTTGAAAACTAAACTCGTCGAACGTTTTTTTTGTTGGAAAAAACACTTTTATGCTTAAAAGTAATACAATTTCATTAAAAATAACTGTTACGAATAGTAATTTTTGCTTATTTGATTTAATATATAATTGTTTTGGTGGTGTGATGGTTTATTGCGAATAGAAATTTTGTTTATTTAATTTACAATTGTTTGGTGGTGAAATGGTTTTAATTTGTTCATTTGTACGGTTCACACAATTTAAAAGAGAAAAATAATAAAAAATAGTTTTTGACAATTGCGAAGAAAAGGTCTTCCGGTTGGCTGTTATTTCTAACTGTTGATAAAAAAGGTTATCAACCGGGCTGTATTACTTTATTTTACCTGACAACTGAAATAATTAATTTAGTTGGGCAGCAATAAAATTCTGAGACATAAAGAGTCTCTATTTAGTCACCCAAAAATTTATACCTACTTTACCCTTCCCCTTCCACATAACGACAAACTACGGAGAGGAAAAAGGAAAGCAGTAGGAGGAGGCTGAGTGTTGGTTTTTCTTCAAATTCGAAACAATAACAATAAAGAAAAGTTAATTAAAGTTTTTTTCTATCAAAGAGACATAAAGACTTCTTGTTTTACTGAACAAAGTGTTTCAAACAGGTGTGACGATTATAGTTAAATCGAAAATATTTATTTTATTCTTTGTAAACATAGAAAACGTTTTTTTGTTGAATCATTCATCGTACGAAAATTGGTGCGTGTTGAGTGTGGATGGTGCGTGCGCATTCCGCGTGTCCTACTTCAACCAATCGTGTGCGAGAACGTCTTTCCCTGCCGAGACCTTCTCCCTCCAGCGCCAAGCGAACCGAGGGCCTCCGATGAACGCTCCGAGAATGTCACTTTTCGTTGCGGTATTACCGCGATAGGGTGTCTTAAAGTGGTCTTACCACAAGCAGAGCAAAGCGGTTTCATCGCAGGAGAGATTAAGAGGTGTTACCTCACGTATTGTAACGCGCTCTACCGTGAAATCGTCTGGTACCGTTAAAAAGTCAAACGTTCGTACGGTATTTCGCCTTTTTTATTTAATTTTGTGCTCCGGGAAACGCCGTCGTATTATCGTAGAAATTTATTATTTTATCGTCGAATCTTAAATGTTATCTGCCCATCGCCGTCTTTGCGTGGACAGGTTTATATACGTCGTTTTTTGCTTGCATATTTTGTATTTGTACTTTCAATTTTATCTTTTCATTTTCTTAAATATATCTCGTTACGATTACGATTGTGTTACATATTTATTAAAGAAACAAACATTTGCAAGATAATTTTATTCGGGAACAAAAACTTTCTTTCCAAACATAACCACAAAATACATTAAAAATTCTAAAATCGTTATTTACTTTTTTTTACATATGAAATTCAATTTAAATTATTTCTAATCTATATTAAAAAACAATATTGATAGAGGACAAACTTGCCGCCACCTTTATTTTATACAGCCAAAAATTATTACAAAATAAACTTGTGCAATGGTTTATTCATTTGTTGGCAAAAAAATTGTTGTTAAATATAAATCAATTTCACTGAAAATAACAATATTTAAAAATGAAAAAGTGAAATTATCTGTTTGCTGGCAATAAGACAACATTTTTTTGTTTACTTAACAAAGTAATTAAACCAGGTAAATAATTTTCGCAATTACTTAACTCATTTATTCCACTTTTTTTAATAGAATATTTTTTTCATCATAGCAAATTCGTGAGATTTATCAGGGGCCGGTGTGATGCACGCTGTAGGTATAGTCTTAAGTTTTACTGACACAGGGTTTCTCGATATAATTTGTCGTTTCGATGGTACACGTATCGATGGAAGTGAAGAACACGACCATTCAAGATTTAAGTTTAGACCATTACAAGATGTTAACGTAGGATTTAAATCATTAACAGTTTATTACATGAATCAATTGTTTGAAAAAAATTCACAACCAATTCATTTACCTTTGTTTGAGAATTAATGAAAGGGATTGAAAATGATTTGGATTCCCCTTTTAAATACTCGCGCCTTTTTCTCATTCTCGCATACACTACTTGGGTCAAACTCAGCCATTCCAGAAATCTACCTTAACACTCAAATGCTCAAAATTTTCCACTGACTCTCTCCTCTCTCTCACTTCAGGCACTTCAACCTCACAAAACACACTTCTCTTTTTTACCTTTTTTATCACTCATACATTCGCTACTCTATACAAACATATCTTTCATTTACACTACCGCAAATTACACTACACACTCAACACTCTACCCTACCCACCCTTTTTTAAAACCTTTAAAATTTCTGAAAAAAACTCTTAACTTTTTCCAAACGCGTGTACACCGAAACGGTACCGGAAACGGAAGCCTCGTAAAAATATTATAAAATTGAGAAAACTTCAACGATTTAAAATTGTAAATATTTAATTTGATGCATACTTGTTTCAAGTAAACAAAGTCCACACTTTTCCAATTGATAGATTGTAATTCGTAATTCTTTATTTGTGTCGTTAAAAAACAAAGAAATTAATTTTGTAAATATTTAAAATTATTCAACGTTACACAGTTTCAAAATGATTAACAGTAAAACAGAATGTAATTAAATTCGAAAACACTCAATTTGATGTTTTTTTTCAGAAAAACGAAACGTGCAAAACTTCAAATTGGTATACAGATTTTGAAAAAATAATAGGAATCGATTTAGGTATGAAGTATCCTATTACTGCAAGCATTATGAATACCAATCAAAATGTACATGAATTTATCAAATTGGAAAAAAACAAAGAATACCACGAATTGTCGAGAAAAAAGAAGAAAAATTTCAATGAATTTCAAACCAATCAAAAAGAAAGACTTTCGATAATGTAGATTTAGAATGGGCGAAGGAGTGAAAGAGTGTAGGTATTGGATGGATGATGAAGAGAAAATGTGTAGGATGTGTGGATTTCAGGTAGAAGATTGGAAGCATGTTTTGGAGGGATTCAACGTTACACAGTTTCAAAATGATTGACAGTGAAACAGAATGTAATTAAATTCGTAAACATTCAATTTGATGTTTTTTTCAGAAAAACGAAACGTGCAAAACTTCAAATTGGCATACAGATTTTGAAAAAATAATAGAAATCGATTTAGGATGCGATATTTAAATTTCAATTTTAGTCTGAAACTCGCGCTTTTATTACGCCATCTACAAGTTAGAGATAAATAATAATCAGTCTCGTGATGCACGCCGAATGTAACACTACTTTTCATTTACTTATCGTTAATAAACTGTTCAAATTTAATTTAAAATGCAAGTGTCAGTTTTATTCACGTCGCTGAAGAATTTCCTTCCTACATTATGAATACCGATCAAAATGTACATGAATTTATCAAATTGAAAAAAACAAAGAATACCACGAATTGTCGAGAAAAAAGAAGAAAAATTAAATTTTTTAAAATAAATTTCAAACATCAAGGGAAAGCCGTCTCATTGTCGGCAACTGTGGGAAGCCGTTCCTGAATCAATACCGTCCCTCCTGGATCTACTTGTCCTCGTTCCAGAGAATCTGGAGGTTTCCCGCACAACACGGATCACGTCGTCCAAGCATCCACGAACACATCGTCCCTACGATCGACCAGTGGATCCCCCTCCATTGACCACGACTGCGAGTCTCAAGAAGAAGACCAATAAACAACGCTTAAAAAATGTTGTACGACGTTTTAGATCTCTACGACGCTAATTAACCTTGCATACATTTTAAGCACATCAAATCCAATTCGATTAAAGAATTTTTTCTTCACAATTTATGATTGTCATTGTGAAATAGAAAATTTTCCCAAAGAAGTGGTAAACAAAATTCTTAATGAATTATCGACAAAAGATGGTAAAGAAAATGACGCAATTAAATTCAAACCAGGTAAGTATTGGGAGAGAGGTTGGACAACTACAGCTACACCTTCTCTGACGCTGAGGTGGCAGTCCCAAAGAAGATGCCTCACGTACCTGGTTACCACTGGACACTGGGGTTGAACTGCTTGGCTGATCTCTCTGACTGCTTTCTTCCGAGCGGTTAGAAAGTTGACGCCGCACTGCCTGATCTTCTAACTCGCCGGCGAGTTTATATATGGCGCTTGGGATAAGTCACTCGCGATAGAACCTAGGGTCTATTTTCCTGTATTAACTACTGGACGTCTGACATTTAAAGTCGGATAGTAGTAGTGTTCAATGAAATGGCATCCCTATTTTGCCTCGTCACAATGAACACATTAAAGACTTGGAAACAAATTTTAAAAAATCAATTACCTCAAATTTGAAACAAAAAATGAAATGTTTCTTTGAATTAAAATCTTCAAAAGACGACAGCTTTACCTACGTACCAACGCCAAAAGGTACAATCTGCTCCTGGAACGCCCTATCGTTAGAGGAAGAGATTGCCTAA